TATGGATGCAGTCAAGGGTAACACCAGATAGACGAAGATAAAAGAAGACTTTCTCAGTTGTATTTACAGACTCTGCTGTTCTGCTGTAATGACTGTGGTGTAATGATCACTGGAGCAGATCTCCTCGTCTCAGCAGCTGCAGCAGGTTGTTTTTCACTTTGGTCAAACTGAGGGAGGTTTTTGTACGACTCTGAATCACTGTGTGAATGTATAATCGCTATGATAACCAAGACAGTAGTAATCTCCAAGATCTTCAGCCTGAACACCACTGACCCTTAGACTATAGTCAGAACCAGAGTAGCTGCCACTGAATCTGGACGGAGTTCCTGAGTGCAGTGTTGTAGCGTCATATATCAGAAGTTTGGGAGCCTGTCCAGGTTTCTGAAGATACCAACTGAGATCAGCACCAATATTTGAACTCCCTGTGGCTCTGATGGTGACTGTCCCTCCAAGACTGACAGATAAATGTTTGTCAGTGTGAGTCAGGAAGTTGTTGGCAGTCGACTCTGAAATTCAAAATAAATAATATTAGGTGCTATTATGTGAAAGCTTGTTAAATGGATGTAAAAAAAAATCCAAACAATATATTTGTAAAAACTCTTACCCTGACTCAGAAATCCCAACAACACAGTCAGAGTTATTGCTACAATCATCTTGGTGCAGGTTTCTGATGAACGTGTTGTAAAAATAAGTTGAAATTCTCTGCAGCCGGGGAATTTGAACTCATGAAGCACTGATGCGTTAACCTTACACAAATGACCTCGGAGAATACAAATGCACAGGTGTGCATGTGAAACAGAAAATATGTTAATGAGTTTCTGACCCATTCAACCATTCAAGCCATTTGTTTCCAAACCGTTTCAACGTCTAATTTTGTTTTTCCATCATTTATGTGACAGTGTCTTCTCTTGGCCTGATGTAAGTTTGAAGTTTTTATATTATTAGTTTCCTAGTTGATATGATAAATATACTGTACATCACATTGTCTCTAATACTACCACTGTATAGACTAGCTTTATATATTACCAGCTTTATCTTACAGCTTTAGTCGTTTTACTATACTGTACTATACTAAACTACACTGTACTACACTACACTATACTGAAACAATACTCTACACCGGGGCTGTCAAACTCATTTTTACCAGGGGCTACATCAGCAATACAGTTCCCCTTGAAGGGCCGGTTCTAACTGGAAGACTGTATAGACCAGGGGTCCCCAACCCCCGGTCCACGGACCAGTACCGGTCCAGGGATCATTTGGTACTGGGCCGCAGTGGTACACAATGAAAATATGTTCTTAATTTTTACTAATTAAAGTAAAAATTAGGTCAAGAAACTCTGCTGCATGAAGGTTTTTAAGCTCCCACGGGCCATCGCCCGGGCATCAAAAAAGGGCTTGGCGGGCCGCATTTGGCCCCCGGGCCTTGAGTTTGACACGTATGATCTACACTATACTGCATGATATTATGCCATACAAATGCTGTCTTAAAAATAACATGCATTTTCATTTTTCTTATATGAGTCAGCCTCTGTCCTACTAAGTGATGGGCAGCTTCAGGCATCGTTGACCAAGCAGAACTAAAGAAGAACTAATATGGAAATTCTACTTCTACTTCCCCTTTGACTGGAAATGAGAGCATGGGCCAGTCTGAAAATCAAATATCTACAGTTATTAAAATAGAGAGAAGTTCGTTGACTTGATATAAAGCAGGGGTGTCCAGGTGTTTTTTGGCTTCAGAGCTGCTTTTCAAATGACCGGGGTAAAGTGATCTATCTACACTGAAAACTATAAATATATATTTATTACTTTGATTAAATGGCTGTAGTTGTATGGCACAATACCATCTGACTCAATACTTCTACGCTCCTTACTTTAGCCCTAGTGATTAGCATCTTACAATAGAATTAAATCCATCATTTAAATTTTTTTTTTGTTTGTTTTTTTGTTTCTTTAATTGCTCAGGATCTACCAGCACTCCCTTCCTCCCTCCCGGTCTACTTATTGGGCACCCCTGATATAAAGTATCGATTTTGTGTGGTGCGTTTTACTATTCGTATTCTGCCCTCTTGTGTCCAAAGTTGGCAAACTGTGTGACCTGAAAAAAAATTCAACAAATACTGGATTCTTTAACTATATTTATTCACAACAGGGCTCTTTTATAATGTAGAGTTTGGGTAACTGTCAATTTAAGGTATTCAAAAAAAAAAAAACATCGACTTGATGCTGAAACATGTTTGTTCACATCCACCTTTATTTAATAACTTACATGAACGGCTTTTATTCATTGTCAGACCTGGAAGGCTTCATGATGAACATGAATGCTTTCATTTATAATCCACATCGTTTTATAAAACACAGTAGAAGTGGGAATGTGATCAAAACTCACACAATAGTGTCTTTCAGCCTGTTTTGAGTAGAAAGCATTTGTTTCACCTGCCAAGTACCGTTGGTGGATTCTACTTCAGTTTAAAGACCGTTTACAGGAATGTGTGCATTTCTCAGCAGAACACCTCCCTATTTATTCCATAAAAATCTAAAGTAGAATGATAAAACACCTGAAAAATGACTAAGAGCTGTTAATAAACTTGTGTTGGTCTGTCCGTAGAAACAATCTGACAGAAAAGAACAACTTTCTTTAGTTCTAAGTCTGATATGAACGACAGCTCTGAACAGTAATAATTTATTCCAGGACACACCACGAAAACTTTTGCACCAGCCCTGTTTTAACATTCAATCGAGTACTTTGACAGTGATTGTCTTAAGTTGAGGTACAAACCAAAACTCTGCTGTTCTAGGAAAGGTAGAACCAAAAAATAACCTAGAAAGGCAATGTTCTCCATCAGTGGAGTCCAAATCTGCTCAGGTGATGAATTCAGGCACAATAATAACAACAACAACAACAACAATAATAATAATGATAACAATAAACCCACAAAGGAACGCTTAAATCTCAGAAAGAGTCCTTGCTTCTTGTTGGTGCCCAGGTTCTAAACATCTTTCTCCCGTGTTAGTTAGAAACAATACTTAAAAAAAACAAAAAAACATTTGAGAACACAAAAACATTACCAATATCCCTGTATAATATACAACAATGACAATATCTTTCTCCAGTTCTATTTTTTTAATCATTTGCTCTGTACTTTCACCAATGTAAGCCAAGCCCAACAGAGAAAATATCCAAACATGGGTTTCTCAAATGGTGGGTCATGACCTGAGATTGGGTAGTTGATGATGTAGGATTAATTCCTGACAATAATTTTGTTAAACCATGTGCAGCTCCCTCTCCTAAATATTGTTAGAAAAAGAGAAAATGCTAAATTGTTTGTACATGTTGTATGTATGTGTTTTCCTACGTCTACTGGGGAACATCAAGCCCATGTTGTATGTATGTGTTTTCCTACGTCAAGCCGAGTGCTTCATTATATATTTTCTTTTCTGTACTGAAGGACTCTTAAAAAGCCTGGTATCCAAGTCTTCAATAATACAGAACAACTGATGTCAACAGAAGTGGTCGGTCGAGTCAACCCAAGAATTTAAGGCATTGCTGTCGTGCAGTGAATCCATCAGATCCGTTTGCATAGTTTATAGAAGAGAAGGACCAGTGAGTTTGAGTCTGCAGAGACTCTGGGTCTGAGTCATGTGATATGACCACAAAGAGAGTTGAATACTTTACAGAGAAAATCTTGGGGCGGGGGTTCCTCCCTCCACCATTAGAAAATAATTGAAGGTTCACCTTGAAATATTGTTAAACCTTATGTTTTATCCTTTTTTAAAGGAATGTTAATTTTCCAAGAGATTCCAGATCCAAACATGGCCTGGACAACAGCACAAAGTCTGTACTGTTCTTGATTGGGCCACAGTACAGTACAGGCATAGAATGCTGTGGTTTTTCCAGGCCACGTTCAGATCTAATGGACCCTGTCAGAATGCATGTTTGTAACCATAGCAGCAGCAGCAGCAGCAGCAGCAGCAGCAGCAGCACAGAAAACAGCTGTAAAGCTTTCAGTGTCTTTTCACACCAGAGACATTTTAATCTTGTTTTGTGAAAACAGAACATTTAAATTCTGGTCTCAGACAAGGTTACAAAAATTACTGATAAGAAATATTTTGATTTGGATAAATGGTAACTTTCATTACTTTCATAACATCGTTTTTTTTTATTCTAAAGAAGAATTTCCATGTAATCAATCAAGAGTTGATAGTGATGCCTTCCGTGTCTGAAGAAAAAGTTGGACAGCACAACTTGCTGCAAGTGTTACGTAAAAGTGCACGCAGTCTTTTCTGAGACATTCTTTGGTTAAACTACCCTTTTCTAAGGAATGATGTTGTCATCATTTGTCAACACTGAACGCTCATCGGTTCTCAGGGAACTCAAGCTTGCATGTCCTGCAGTGAAACAGTTCCTAATTAAATAAATGTCTTCAGAAAGGGCTTTGTATGGTGAAGACTTTTGAGAATCTAAGTATATGATTATTTGGAACCCCCTTTTTGAAAACTGCAAGTATCAAATGGGATATTTTAAAGTACCACCTCCTGCCTATAATTAGAAGATGATGATGACAATGACTTTTATGTGGAATGTGTGGAATGTGTCATTAAAGCCATAAAAACACTTGTTTTACTATCCTTTTAAAGCAGGGCTTCTCAAAGTGCGGTCCAGGGTCCACATGCCATGTCAGTCGGTGGACCGCACCTGTATCTGGTGGAATGAATGTACTGTACGTGAGTGGGTGAGTTCATGTAGATGTAATTATGTTGTGGACTGAATCATCATCACATCCAGACCATTAAGAAAAACAAAGTGTGAGACGCCCTGTTCAAAAGGATGCAGGCCAAAAAAAGATTGTTTGTGAGTTTTAGTGTGTTGGAAGATTTTGCGACACTCTGTGTAACGTCCACTCTCGACAACAACACATTTAGACACAATGTGTGGAGAGAAGAGGGAACATCATGGCTACCTGTCGCTCCGGTACAAGGCACAATGGTGGCTTTTAAATGATTTGAACGGGGGAACAAGAGCGGAGATGATTTTTACGAGTCGGTGAAATCCAATATAAAAACACTGGGTGACTGGTTGGAGTCTGGGTTCAGTTGGAGTCTGAAAGTCTTTGGAGACGCTGAGTTAACGGTTGCTCCTCATGGCCTCCTTGGCCGCCAGGATGAGTGGGGTGAGGCTGGACAGAGGCTTGGCCAGTTTCAGGAAGGGATGCTGCAAACACACACACACACACACACACACACACACACACAGAGAGATTAACACATTAATTATCATTATTCATAAATAACTAGAGATGTAGCGTTTTCGGAATCAGTTAAAAATCGATGCAAATGTGGTTGAAATAAAAAAGAAAAGAATCACTCATCAAGGAATAAGGAGTAGGTTTGTTGTGACCTCTATTAAACCAAGACGTCAGGGACCTGACGTAGCCTAAGTGACATTCAGGTGTTCAGGCCACAGACACCAACTGTTTTTTTTACAATGTTTCTGTAAAATTTTTCTTTTTTTCTTTTGTTGTTTAATATATTGACCAATAGCGGTAAATAAGACCAGACCAGTTTTCCTTCCTTAATAAGAGGAGATATATGGTGATGGTTCTGACTGGTCCTACCTGCAGCAGTTCTCTGCCTGATCCTCGTTTCTCCACATCCATCTCTAGGCAGCGAGACAGGAAGGACCTGAAGACGGGAGACAACTTCTCTGGACTCTGCAGCTCTGGGGTTCCATTGGTGGCAATTAAATACAAAGCCTGACATGAAAGACCAAGGCAACGATGAGACAGTCAGAATGTCCAGTCTTCACAATAAAGTTTAAATCTTACTCTCCTTTTACCTGTTTAAATATTAAGGAAAAAATAATTTATATACATTTTTCTGTGAATCTAATGAGCAGCTGTGAAACAAAAACCAAAGCAAGAGTTGAACCAAACAATCTAAGTTTTGGCCTCCTGGTGGTGCTAGAGTTAATCTTCCAGGCTTACAGAAATCTTTTTTCTGCATTTTAAACATTAATAAAACATCTACAGCAGACAACAGAAATGACTCACTCTGAGAGGATTCTCATTTAGATACGGAGGTTCTCCCTCCACCATCTCAATGGCCATGATCCCTAAGGACCATATGTCCACTTTGGGTCCATAGGCTTTTCTGGTTACAACCTCTGGAGCCATCCAGTATGGAGTGCCCACCATGGTGCTGCGTTTGCTCTGCTCTGGCGTGATCTGAGCACAGAACCCGAAGTCAGCTGCGAAAACAGAGAAGACGTGTTAAAAGTCCACTCATAATGAACGGTACCAAACTGTGGGATCTGTGTTTCCTGTCTCTCACTAAGTTTGACTGATCCGTCCATTCCCAGCAGTACGTTGTCACTCTTGATGTCTCTGTGAATGACCTGGTTGGCATGAAGAAACTCCAGAGCCTGAAGGACCTGGAAACAAGAGGATGATGGTGAAAAAACAACTTAAATTTGACAGGTAATTTTGTCCTGTCCTGTTTTATGTTTATATATATATATATATATATGTATATATACACATGAATATACACATATATACATATACATATACACATATATACAAATACACATATACATATATACACATATATCTACATATATATACATACATATATACACATATAAACATGCATATATTCGCATATATATAAAAATGGAATACTTTCATAATGATTCCATTACAGTTTCTTTTCACAGTAAAAATGAGATCTTTGTATGTAAAATGATGCAGCAGAGAATGTGAAATGATTTCTTTGACCCTCTCACCTCTCTGCACACAGCAGCGATCTGAGCCTCGTCCATGCAGGTCTCCGTCACAACATCAGTCAGGGAGCCGCCGGCCAGATACTCCATCACCACATACAGCTCATCTCCTACCAGGAAACTGCAGACACGCATGAGTTTTGGTTTTACCTATGAGTCCTACAGTTATAACAGCTGTCAGTTTACAAGTGTATCGGTTGGATTTTTTTTTGCCATCAGTGGAAACAGAGAGTGATTAGGCTGCTGTTGAGGTCGTGCCCATGCAGTACACATCTTAACCACATGGAGGATCCCAGTCAGTTAATAAAAGGTACAGTAACTGAATGAAGATGCACTGAAATATGAAACAGATTTTCTTTGGTCCAAACTATTTGTATTGTATAAATATGTATTTATCAGCAACCAAAGTGAAGGTTTTATCGCATCATCTTTATTATCACAATATAACTCTTAATTACACCTTAAATATTTGTTATTCTATTTACTGAATTCTCTGACTGACTGTCTGTCTGTCTGGTGAGTGATGTTCAGATCAGTGTCACCTGTCCAGGAAGTTGACAATATTTGGGTTCTTCATCTCCTTCATGACCAGAATCTCGTTTATAATGAGCTCTTTCTTAGGCTGCTTCTGCAGGTTGATCTGTTTGATGGCCACCTGTGAAACAGAGCATCCCATAAAGAGATACACACATTACGGACACCACATACACAACAGTATGATAACGCAAATAATAAGGACTTTGTTTCCAAATTTAAAATGACTCCAAACAACCTTTCTCTAACAGAGCTGTAGACTAGAAATCAAGATTGAAATTCCCTTTATGCTACTTTTTATTCCTTGTCTGAAATACGTTTGAAAAACAATCAGACAACTATGTGGCCCAGTAGTTGCACAACACAAGGGTTGCCAGTTCAAATCCCAAAAACAACAGTTCAGTGGTGTGGTCGACAAACAAAAATTCTTTGGGGAAACTTTGTTGTGTGTATTATGTATTATAATGTATAATGAGAAACACACGTGAACACTATTTATGTGAAATCATTATTTCTGTTGTTGACCAAGAGCCGACCAACTGGGAGAACTAAATCAGATTTCTGATCATATAAAGTAACTTCACCTCTTGTCCTGTGGCGACATCTATGGCTGTGTACACTGTACCAGACGCCCTGAAGGAAAAACGATGAGGTGAAATTATTTTTAAAAAAAGGCCCCACCCGATATTTTCCCATCATCATCATCATCATCACCATCTTCATCATCACCATCTTCATCCCTCCTCCACTAACTTTGACTCACCCCTGTCCGATCTTCTCGTAGCGGGTGTATTTCTTCTTAGGATCTCCAATACTGACGATAGTTCCTAAGAGTCACAGGGGAAAGAAAAGTGTGGAGTCAGCAGAAGTGGAGCCTGGAATAGATGTGGTTTTGCCCATCTGTAATGATCCGTTTACACCGAGCATCTGTCTTTGGTTTCCTTACTTAGTTTTTCCATGATCTCCTCATCAGTCATTTTCCCTCCCTTCTTCTTCTGTTTGTCCGCTGCCTTTGAGGCGGCGTCCCCGTCTGGAGCCGGCAGTGGATCGATCACTGACCTGGTGTAAACCTGGACGAAACCCGACAGAGAAAGTCTCAGATTTGATCAGCTCCTGTTTCCTTTTTTTTTTTTTTACACAGCAGTTTGTTTACTTTCACAATAAGATTGATTAAAAGAATTGGAAGAAATGCCCTAATTAAAATGACTATTTTTATACAGGCATTATAAAATAAATCTATATATAATAGTATGCAATAATTATATAAGAATAGTAATTAAGATTTTCTTATTTTAGTTTTTTATATGTAAGCCTTAAAAGCATGTGAAATGTTAATTGTGTCAGTGTCACGATGACCATAGTTTTTGATTTATAATAAATAATTATAAAAAAAAAATAAAATAGCAGCAATAAACTGTAAATAGCTCCTCCTCCAGTCTCACCTAAAAGAGGTTTTAGACACATCTTTATTTCTATGGGTTTTCTAAGGGTTTTAATTGGCCAAATCTGTTGAAACAAGTGGCAGCTGATGTGATGGGAAACTCTACTCTACTGTTTACACCACACTCACTGATTTAGTGTGTTCTGGTCTGGGAGCGACCACTGGAGGCGGTGTATCGTCATCGTCATCATCATCACCGTCTTTTCCTCCTGACGGTGACGTGGCTGTACCTTGTTTGCACGTCTGAACAATAAAAACACAAACATTTGAAGTGATGACAAACATAGTTATGGTGAAGTCATGGAATGAACTCTACGATCTACTCACCGACTGAGAGTCTTTGTCTGTGGATAAAAAAAAAGAGAGAGAGTGTCAGGACAGAGTGTTTACAGTTAAAACAGTGGACGTTGTTTTTCTGTGGAGTCAAAAGCAAAACTGACCTGACGCGGAAAAACTGAGGTATTTCTGTTTCCCACTGGTAGAGTCGTAGAACTTGAGAATGTCGAGGACGGCCTGAGGATTCTGTTTCTGCTCTGATATACTGATGTTGGAGGTTTGGAGTAGACGGGCCCACTGCTCCGGCATGCCCTGAAAAGACAACCGCACACGCACAGAGAATAAGCTTAAAAAAAGAAAAAGAAAAAAAAGAGTTAACCGTGAAGACAAAGCAGTGTTTTTATTAACGACAAATTACAGTTTCTGTAAAAACAACCGGAAACCTGGACACATTAGCAATTTGAATTCTACTGGTTGGTAATGGTTGGGATATATTGTCACCTTAAGAAATGACACTGGTGTAAACATAAATTTGAACCAGCGTCAGGACATAAACATGTTGACAAACTTACAGTGAACTCTCCAGTGACAGCGTCGAAGCCCACATGGATGGTGTGTTCAAAGTCTGACGGGGACGAGATCTCAGGCCTGTCTTTGTCCCTGTCCTTCTTCCTGCCTCCTGTGGGTCAAAGGTCAAGCTGTTTCTTCTTTCTACATGAACATACGCAACTGCAGAAACGTGTTCTCTCCACACAGCCCTCACCTTTCTCTGAGGCAAACATAGAGATGATCTTGTTCCTGGACTTCCTCTCCTCAGGTACCGACGGCAGTGGTCGAGAGCTGTGATTGGCTGACTGGGCATCCTTAGCTCCACCTTGGCTACTCATCCTGACAGGGGGGGCGGGGGGCTTGTCCTCACACACTCCGCTGTCGCACATTTACACCCACGTACACCTGAAGAGACATAAACGAACGCATACATTTGAATGCAGCCCAGACATGAAGCAAATGTCAACTCCTTCCTGTTGTTATGGGTTTAAAAGGTTTCTATGAAAAAGTCCAGTCTCCACAACACTGAGAGAATCTGACCAACCTCATCCCTACAGACTACAATCAGTGGACGGGTGTAGGAGTGAAGGGAACAGAAGGTGTGAGCAGGAAAGAGCTCTGAATGGGCAAAGTGACGTGTTCTGTCTCGTTCACATTTTCAAGACAATGAGGAAGGAAAGGAGGCCGAGAGAGCAAGACACACAGAGAGAAAGAAAGAAAAACAGAGAGAGACGGTGCGAGGGGGCATTTTTTCATTTTTAAACAATAATTTAAACTTCGGGAGGTCACACAAAGTATAAGAGAAGGAGAGAAGGAGAGAAGGAGAGAGAGAGAGAGAGAGAGAGCATGACTGAAGTGTGCAGGATTGTTGCAGCAACAAACTCCAACAAACTCCTTAGTCAGGTCAGGAGAGTCAGCACTGACTGAATGTCCTCCGTCATGGAGGCGTCTCTCATGACTATTGACATAAATGGCTGAACAGATTCTTAATTACAGCCTTAATTGCTCTTGGTGTGATTTATGTGTATATGGCTGACACACAAATACAAAGATGAAACGTTATGGCCCATAAATCAATAGACTCCAACAGAACACAGTAAAACAAACACACCGTCTACTGTAAACCAGCAGCAGTTCTTCACTGTTGCTTATTGTGTTGTATTTTTTTTTATGAAGTGCAGGAAGTTTGACCCAGTTTCCTAATATGGTGAAAACTCAGACTGCAGACACTGGTGCACACACACGCACACACACGCACATGCACACACTGACAGGCGCACGCACCCACAAAACCATCAACCACAAAACCTCCTCATCATCCAGTCCTGCTGACTGAGCATGCACTTCAATCAGATCATTACTTAGGGACTTCATTCTCGGTGACATCACAGACAGGAAACAAACAGAAGTTTCCCCATTTCCTGTGTCTGACTGTTGATGACACAGCTCGTGTATAACCTGGTCTGGACGCAGGGCTGAGGTAGGTTTGTCTACAGCTGCCCTTGGGACATTTGTGATGTCACCACAAAAATCCTTCCGGTCCTAAATTCCTCTGGTTTTGCACTATAAAGATTAAAGCCAGCGGCATATTTGTCATTGACAAGACTATTCTGGGTTAACTGCCCTCACGTCTACACGTCATCTTTACGTTAGTTCTGTTGATCTGTTCTCACTGGACATTTTAAAAGGAGTTTTCAGAAGTGGTTTAAATTGATCAAGTTTGATACATTTAAAAACAACCCCTGATCCAGACATATTGTAGTGTGGTTCGTATAAACATTTTACTTGATGAACTCTATCACCATGATCCTGTCAGGACATGACATCAAAATGGTTAAATGGGATTGGTCGCTGGCAAATATTGCTTGAAATGGAAACCCATTTGGCCACGTTCCTTAATTCTGGACTTACTGCAGCATATGAACTAGCAACAGTCCAGACCAGGGTTCACAAGGACTCTGAGAGAATGTCTTTAAGGAGAACCAGGTATCAGTTTAACAGAGCAGAGTTTAAGTCCAGTTCACAATCACTAAAAGACCTCAGGTTGGTTTAAGAAGATGACTGTGAAAGGAGTGAACGTTCTCTAAATGAAGCATTTTCTGCTTTGGTGACAATCAATAACAACCTCAAGCAGAAACAACTAGTTTGACACTAATGGTTTTTCATACCGACTCTTGATGACAACATATCCAGTGACCTGGTGGTTAAAGGTTTCCAATTGAAGTATTGCAGGTTCAAATCCTGGCCCTGACAGGACTGCGGTGTGCTTAGGGAGCGTCTTTTCAAATCTACTTATTCTCCCTGTATGGTTGTATCGCAGCTCTATGGACAAAAGCAAAGATTAACTCTTCAACTTTTCAGTAAGACTCTCATGCACAAAAAAAATCATCCTACTGCTTTATGAAGAGTAAACTAACAATATTTTCTGATTTCTCCAGGAAAGTCCTTGAGCAGAGTGTCCAAAAGTAAGAAAAATCATTAACACCACCAATGACTACCTTTTTTTCTCCACTCTTATTCATTCCTCTCCTTCACTCTATGCCTCAGGCTACCACTGCAGCAGTCACGGAGAGAGGAACACAAGGGCCTACCTGTCCTGCAGAGGCTCATGTAAACTGACCACAATATGTTTTCCAGTGTGGAAAGACACGACCAAAGGAGCCTGTCCACCCACAGGACACGGGGCACTCCCTGAGAGCCTTCTCTGAACCCCCCCTTAACCCCGAAGAATGTCTTCTACGTACTTTTGCTCCCAGCTGCCGAGCACTCACCTGTTAGTTGTCTCTTCTGCCTCTCACAGAAGACCAGATAAACCAGGGGAGGAAAACTGTCCTATTCTTATTCACAGCAAGGGCGTAGCACCTCCGTTCCTACTGCTCATTCATCTACTGGGTCTTCTCTCTGTTTTTTCCCTCTCTGTTTCTCCGTCTCTCTCTCTCTTTTCCCCATTCGCAGGGCAGGTCCCAGCAGGCTGTCTCATTCCTCAGTCATCTTGGGTAGGACAAGTGTGCTCATGCCCTGGCAAGATAAAATTAGACCAAGTCCAGCCTTAATGTGCATTTTCAAAGTCTCCCTCTTTCTCCCACTCCTTTTCTCCCCCTCTTGGTCCCTCCCTCCGTCTCACTCCTTTTCTCCCTCTCTCACTGGGCCTGTGTGTTTTGGGCTGACTGGATGGGTGCTGGCTGGCCAGGCTGAGACAAGTTGTCTCACAGTTGGAATTCCATAGCTGCAGGCTGCTGCAGCAGCAGACATGTTCTCTAATTCAATTTAAACACACACCTCTTCCCCAACAGGAGCTGCATTGTGAGGCTGTGGGTATGTTTTATATAGCTGTGAGCAGCAGCAGCAGCAGGAGGAGGAGGAGGAGGAGGAGGGGTCTGCTGTGAGGGAAGTAGGCAGGTGCAAAGATCAGCATCACAGGTGACACAACTGTCCACACCTTTGTTCTCATGGAACTGTTTATGGATTATGTCACTCCAGGTAGTAATCTGGAAACCATGGTAAACAACACATGACTCAGTTCTGCAAACATTCAAAATGTTGTAATATTTTAAGAGTTGTAAGAGTGTTGCTCTTCTATATTGTCCTTTTGACATGACTGTAGGCTGCTTCTTAGCTAACTCTTTTCCTTCATGGCTACCCTTTAGCATCTCCTTCCTACCTTTGTTATCATTTTGTCTGTTATGGTCTTAGCTTGTATTTATGTTTTGCTAATGTTTGGCTGTAATTTTTCTAATTTGTTTCATCTGCAAGTTAACCTGCTGGCTAACTACCTTTTAGCCTAATGTTTGTCAGGCTAATTGTTATATCTGTGCAGGTGACATGTTTGTTAGTTGATAAGTTGTTTTTCAGGTATATCATATTACAGGCCTTTTACTCTTACCGTATATGCAGTGATATATTACATAAAAATATATATATAAAACAAAGTTTAGCCAATATTTTAATTCTGCTTAAGTGAATACAGTACTTTGATTTTGCAAAGTTCCAATGATGGTGAATTATTTTTCATCACTTCTCTCTCTACACTTGTACTGTACTGTACTGCCTCCACCATTTGAATTCTCTAACTTTCCATCATCACTGAGGCCCACAGCCTCTCCATGTCCTTCTGCTCTCTTGAGATTTCAGTTCCTTATTCTCTGAACTCTGCTTGTTTCATAGCACTTTCTATTCCCTCAGGCTGATCATCAGCAGGGGAGGCCGCTTCCTCATCCTGGAACTCTCCGACTTCCAAAAAGCCAACCAGAGCGCTTTGAGGACGGCTGCCGAGCTGTTTACAGGAAGTGGACAGCAAGCCTTTTGTATTTGGCTTCTATAAAAGGAAATTCTACAGAGGACTTCCTGGAAGGAGTGATGACGCTTACACACACAAACACACTATATACGTCCCCCCTGTTCATTCAGGGGCACAGATGCATAAAATGCATACAGTGTATCATATATACACACACACAGAGACTCAGTCTGTCTACCTTCTACAGCCATTACTGATTATGGGTCTGGCAGTGAATGAAGTGTAAACATTGTGTCCAGCTGCACGCCCACACTGCACACCTTATCCTGTTATTCAAACAGTTGCCTCACACCAGTGGGGCAACTGATTTGATGAGTAAAACTGAGATAAAACACAGGGTTTTAGGGTATGAGAGGGCAGACTGTGAGTCCAAACTCCTTCATAGAAGTCCATATGTTTTGTATTATTAATAACTAAAGGCTAACATATGACAAAATAACAGTGTATGTATGTATAAATACTTGTCGTTTCCTAATCCCCATTAAGTGAGCAATTTGTGAAAAGTGGTATGATCTAATTACTGAAAGGTTGCTTTATATTTACCTCTTTCCCACTTATAATGCTTACATTACTGCTCACAATATAGTTGTATTTCTGTAAAACGAAAAGAGTGAAAAAATGTTCATCTGGGCTACTCTAGATACTTCCAGAAGATCACTTAAAAAAGCTGCAAAAAGAAAACGCTATGAGTTAACAAAAAGCACCAGTTAGCCAAATGAAAACAGTATAAAAAGCCTACACTAAATCAGAAATGAATAATTGTTACCCTTTTCTGCAAAAGAATTAACATTCCATGTACATGATATTTACTGTACATAATGCAATTCTGTAGGAACAAAACACACGTCGTTATTGTCGTTAAATGCTGTACATTGTTGTGCAAGTGAACGGTGAACAAAACACACGTCGTTATTGTCGTTGCATTGTTGTGCAAGTGAACTAAAAGTATACGGTATATCAACAGAGTTTTAGAGGCCTATGTTTATGTAGAGCACCCTATGGTGGCTGTGACAATTGGTTTTACTGCGCATATATTACAATGTTACGTCGTTTAACGACATTTAAGGCTGTCACTTTTTAGTTAAAAATAAAAGTAAAACGACAAATTCCACAACACCAAAGTATCTTACCTGCTCCACCTTTATCTTTAAAACCCTTCTTCTGACACAGATACAGTCATAACACTAGACGTTACTAAGAAGAAAGACTTCTGTAGTTATCAAGTAGTTATTGGCAGATAAAGAAACTTTTACTATAAAACTTACCGGTTTCTGTCAACCATAAACTATTCACCGAGCTCGGCAAACTCCTTCCCCGTTTCTGCTGCTTCAGTACGTTTATATAGTCCAAATTTAACGTTGGGTTTTTTCACTTGTTTCCTCCAAGCGCGAATCAAAAGCTAAGTCGTCTCCTTCGGAGGTTTGTAGCTCAAAACGAGTTGTGAGCCACAAACCCGGGAGGAACCAGAAGAAGAGGAAGCGGAACGTCGTAGAATCAAAGTCGGGAATCAGAACCTGCGGGCTTCCGTAGCGGCGTTGTTGGACCAAACTCGGAAGGCGCGTAAACACAGCTGACTGTGATGCTGCTACCCAGATTGGCGTTAAGTTAACGCATAAGACAAAGGAAATAGGATGGACTTAGTTTTCAAAATTATGGTTTTGACGCGTAAACTAACCAAACTTACTGTGGTAGTGGAATATGGTTGCATTCGCGTCAGCCCTAATTAGGAAGAGTGAGACGACCTTAAAAATGTACCTCGGTGACAATATTTGTTTTGGTTGAATACAACTGTGTTTAGAACAAGTAAGTCACTAGAAGTCTTTTTTCTGATATTATATTTTTACATGACATGATACAAATGCATTCTGGGGCGTAGTCATAAATAGCTTTGCTACTGTAAATTTAAAGAATCAGTATCATAAAAAAAATTGGCAAACTTATTATGTAAACGTAACACATCTTTGATGCCCCTACCGGAAGTAGTGCGCCCACTATCGCTAGCTTAATTCAAGTCTTAAATGAGCAGTAGGACAAATCACAATCGTCAGAAAGTACAAGGTAAACAGTGCATTATTTTTTTAGTACGCATTAAGTGCTAAGTGTGCTTTTTTGTTGTTGTGTTTACTGGTGCGATACGATACGATATAAAAGCCAACAAGGAGCTGTGGCGGTAATTCAAACAAGCTAACGCTACATTTAGAAACCAGAGATAGCCCAGTTGTGTACGTATGATGACGGAGAGATGACGGAAAAGATGATGAGACAAACTAGAGGATAACGCATAATATAACGTTTTCTCTATAAAGTTCTCTCCCCTTTGTGTTAAAAACGTAGTATTTGTCAAATTTAAACGCAAGTCACGCCAGTCATTATTTCTTGAATAAACCACTTGTGGTATAAAAGCTTGTTAGTTTAAGTGTATTCGAGAACATTGGTGTCGTTAACTGACTTGCGTACAGGTGCTCAATTAAGCAACAATCCAGTCAACCCGTGTACGGAAAGAACGGTATGTTTCAATACTTCCTGGTTGGCCTTCAGAACTCTTGTTTGCTCTTGTCAACGATGCGAAACAAATGTTTAAACGCTCTTTTGACAGAATGTGGCCGTCGACGCGACTACGTCAATCCCTCTTTCAGATTTGCCAGCAGTACATTCAAAATGTCATCCCCGTTTACACAGGTCTCAAAGGTCCTATTTAGATGCAATAAACCATTACAGCTATTCGACTGGACCATAGTGTCAAAGCCTTTAAGAATTTTTAAATGACTAATACGTAAATAATGCACCAAATATCTTATTTTGGATTGTATATGTTAGACTGACACTGTAAAAAGAAATAATTCTTATGATTTGTACTCTTTTGGTTGTGTGTGTGTTTTCTCCAGTGTCATGTTTCCCAGCTGGAGACGGTTTAGGGATGTGGACCTCTTTGCAGACCGATCTGAGGCCATCACAGAGACTCTGTCCCAGGCCATCAGAGCTGCAACCTCAGAGGAGCCAGATGCAGACAGCAGTGTGTTGTTTGGCCAAATGAAAGGCAATGTGGTCGGCCTCAGATACTATACTGGAGTGGTGAGCATCAATCAGAGGCATTTTAATGAACTCCACTGACACAGTCATGTCCTGGCCAAGTCTGTCTGTCTCATTATCGGAAGTGCTATTTAACCCACTTACAGCACATTTGAAGACTGAGCTAGAATCAGTTACAGTATAACAGTAATAAAGCAGTGTAATATTATCTGTGTAGTGTCAAATACAATGACTGATAACCACTCATACATAATGTAAAGGTCAATTTTAGCTGTGTTTTGTTCTATAATCTGACATGGTGATAGGGTGAAGTTGTTAATATATAACACAGATGGGTTAAATATATTTAAGATACACAGCAGACTTGGAGAAAAAAGGATCGCTTTGCAATAATAAATGCCTTATTGAACAGCATACAGTTGATAACAAAAGTCTTATTTCTTCATATATCACAAAAGGATCAAATATACTTACGATTTTTTGCAGTATTTTTTTCAATTTTTGTGCCTCTATTTATTTTTTTGGACAGGTCAATCCTGGCGAAATGGTTGGTTTGGTGCGAGAGCCCCATAATCAATATGATCGCAACGCAGTGATGGTTACCAATATATATGGCAACCAGGTGGGACACATCAAGAAGGAGCTGGCAGCAGCCATGGCCTACATCATGGACAACAACATGGCTAAAGTGGAGGGGTGAGTGCCAGACTGGGATATTACAATGAATGCTATTTCTGTAGCTCATCTTCACAAAATTCAGGTAATTTGCTCCATTAAGTTGTATGCAAGTCGTATAAAGCATTATTAAACCATTATTTAAAACCCAGAAGGCAGAACTTCTGCATAAACACATCCATGTGTGCTGTTATATCTGTTTTAGGGTTGTGTTCTTTGCCACAAAAAATAAGTTCACTATGCCCGTGACGCTGTCATTCTGGGGAAGAGAAGAGAACAGAGAAGCTGTGACGCAACACTTGGCAAACCATGGTTTCAAGCTGAACACGCGTGAAAATATACCAATAAGTAATCATTCTCACTCACTTCCTGATGCACTTCTCTGGCTGTCATTGAGATGAGCTCAGGCGATCACATTTCTTTCTCTCGTTCCTGACGAGAGCCCTACCCTTGTTTGTCTCTGTGTTTGTCGACATGTCTGTGGTTTCAGGTACAAAATCAATCCATTATAACAGTCCAGGCGCTTTTATGCAGGCATCGAAAAAAGGTGCGACCATCTCACTGACCCCACAAGAGGTAATGTTCTTTTAAAGTATTTGTTACTGTATAATATGCGTACAGCATGTGAGTAGGAATAGAAAAACACAGGTGAAATCACAGAAGTTCCGTTATTTTGTATAATTTAGGTATAAAATTTCGGTGCAGAATGTGTTTGGGGAAATCAGTCATCAAGTGTTGCTACAGTATTCTTATAATATACTGTGTTACTATAGGCATGACAATACATTTATGTTTTTTTAAGCAATTTAATCGTAGGAAAATTGTCAGCAAAGTAAACACACAATGCTGTTACATTCAGGTTACTAAAATTGGAATCAGAAAGAAAAGTAAAATGAAATGAACCAATGAATATTTGCATGTTATTGAAAAAAAACTATAAAGCGCTGTAGAACATCGATACAGTAGGGTGATGAAAATATCACAATATTTCAGTTTATTGATATTTTCTTACACCCCTGGTGTAATCTGGTTTTTAACTGTTGTCATATATGTTTCAAACAACATCTTTTAATTTACTTCATTTTATCTTTTTTGTTTGTTTTTTTAGATGAAGAATGCTTTTGATAATTTGTTTGAGGGGCTGATGGAAAGTAAAGACGGGGAGCAAGAGGCAGCGAAGGTTTGTGTTTCATTTTTCTGCATTTTGTTAATACGTGGAAATATTCTTTTCTTCCCATGGTTCTTATACTAGTATTGTCTAAAATGTCTTTTTAGTGTTTTCAGTTCCAAATCCAAAAAGCAAAATAATTTTAAATGTCTTTTTATTGTTTTATTTACAATGTTCAGATGGACAAAATACAAAAAGGTACAAACAAATATAAAAAAAACTTGTCTAGAGTAAATGTCAGAGTAATTAGAAAAACAGCATGATCAGCAAAGTAATTTAAATTTAGTCAGGTACATAACTAAAGCATAATTTGTGAACGACACCAACTTTTTTTTTTAATTTCAAAAAATCTTTTTTCTTATCTTCTCCATAGTCTGTGAGCACTCCTCTTCTGCTGCACCAGAAGCAGGCGCTGTCCTGGATGTGTGCTCGTGAAAACAAATCTGGGCTGCCGCCCTTCTGGGAGAAGAGAGGAGAGCTGTACTACAACACCGTGACGTGTTTCTCTGCCAAAGAAATACCAGCGAGGGTTCGTGGAGGAATCCTGGCAGATGATATGGGGCTGGTGAGTGAGTGACACATGAGAAGTTACCACTGAATCAAACTGAGCAAACCGTGTATATTGTCTTGGTATATTGTTGTATCGTTGAATTTCTTCTGCAGACACTTTAAAAACACACATTTTTGGTGAACAAATCCCAGAAAAACTATATCAAAGATCATAGACCAAAAACACTACTCCTCCGTCTGTGCTGATTGGTCGTCTGCACTGGAGCTAAACACAACTATCAGGATTCAAATTCTGACCCCATGTATGACTTATACTGGCAAGACTCAAGACCTGGCTTGAGCAAACTATGGCCCGGGGGCCTGATGCGGCCTGTTTGACTTTTTAATGCAGCCTTCCAAACTTTATCCAAAATATATTATTAATTTATATGATCCTTATACTTCAGCCTTTTCCCTGTGATGCCCACATTCCCCCAGTAAACAATACAAATGAAGATAATAATAATAATCATAATAATAGAGCCTTTCAGAACGATTAAGGACTACAATTCATAAAACATAGTAAAACAAAGCTCAATCATAGTAAAATAAAAAATAACAACAATAAGGCTTGTGTTGGTGTGAGAGTTGTGGTAGGCTGAGTTTGGAGCTGGGACACTCATTGGTGATATTTGTTTAAATGTGTTCACTACAAATAAATAAAAAGATTTTAGAAGTGAAAATCTTTCCATCATTTTTTTTTTTTAACTCTTCAGGGAAAAACCCTGACGACCATTGCTCTGATTCTCACCAACTTCCACAATGGAAACCCTCTGCCCGTGGAGAAACGTGTAAGTGTTTCTATTTCTGCTGCCGTCGCCCTGGTCTCTGTCATTGGTACACAAGTAAAATTATAATAAAGTGATTGTTCTACTTGTCTGCAGACGGAGGGCTTTTCACCTGTTAAAGCTCAGACCAAATTGGAAGGCACATACAGTAAGACCTTAGATGATCACGTTACTGCGCGTTACGTGTGGAGGAAGAAACATACAAGTAAGAAAATTCAAAGCTGAGTTGGATCTTTGTTTCAGGTAGCAGTGGTGTGGAGGTAGGAGGTGAAGTTAGTGCTGCAGCTGCTGATCTTCTGTCTTCAGGCCTGTAAGAGGATTCTGAGTTCTGAAATAATGATGTCTTTGGTTTCCAGGATCCTAACTCTGATTTGTTGTTCAGTTTTCAGGCAGATGTGATCTGTGATGACAAACCAGAACCAGAGAAACGTACGTAAGAGCTGAGAAGTAGATTCTTCTAATTACTCTTCACATTTAGTTGGTTCCCTGTTATTATGGACTGTTGCTCTAATGACTTTCAGCCACAGATAAAAGCAAAAGAAAGACAACAAGCAGCAAGAGGAAACCTGCTAACGGTAACGTCCGTCTGCTTTTGGTGTTTGTACCCAACAACGCCTGCATGTTGAAGCACATAAAAACAGCAAAACCCTCTGATTTTGATCTAAATAACTGACTGACTTTTATGCTGGTGTCTAATGCTGTACATCCAGCAACCCCTGTTTTGCTGGAGGATCTGGACTTTGCCGCAGCTCTCGGTGCCTCAGGTTCAGACGTCATCCCACAGAAGAAGAAGAAAACCGCTTCCAAAAAGGCTTCTTCCACTTCCAGTGAGTTCTAACGACATCTTAGCTCTAGTTCAGAGGGAAGTCAAAGACCTGGAGTGAAAGTCTGTGCCCCCTCTACCTCTCTGTGTGTTTGCAGGTGTTGAATCCTCTGTCCCTGAAAATGCAGACGAGCTGTCGGCCAGAACGACTCTCATCATCTGCCCACTGTCTGTGCTCAGCAACTGGCTGGTAGGAGCTGTCAGTGATGTTGACCATGTTGTGAGGTTGTCCTTCTGAATTCACCATCATGTGTTTGTTCTATCTGTGCTCATGTGTTCTCGCAGGACCAATTCGAGCAGCATGTGCGTTCCAATGTAAAGCTTAACGTCTATCTGTATTATGGAGCAGAACGCAACAGGTCCCAGAAGTTCCTGTCCGCCCAGGATGTGGTGATCACTACCTACAATGTTGTGTCTGCGGACCATGGGGTGAGTCAACGTGGGTCAGGGTTATATGACTGCAAAAGTGCCTTTAATTTTAAAAATGGCTTTCATTGTATTGACAAATGCAGGCCAATAGTCCTCTTCACAAGATCAACTGGCTGAGAGTGGTCTTAGATGAAGGACATGTGGTCAGAAACCCAAACGCTCAGATGAGTAAAGCTGTGCTGGGTCTGAAGGCCAGTCGACGCTGGATTTTATCAGGTATGTTCCGCCTAAGGATATTATGGCCCCAAAACTTGAACTCTAGCTATTACAATGTGCTGTAGTTTTCTGAACATGTACTTTTTCAGTGTAACCACAACTCCTGCTGCAGGTACTCCGATCCAGAACCATGTGAAGGACCTGTGGATGCTGCTGGCCTTCCTGCGCGTGAAGCCCTTCGACGTGAGAGAGTGGTGGAACAGAGTGATCCAGAGACCGGTCACTCAGGGCGTCAGGAGCGGTCTGCAGTGAGTTCTCACTCAAGATGAAGTAGAGAGAAGAGAGTGAAGTAACTTGTGAGATTGTAGAAGCATTTTGTCACACTTTTTTTTTTTTTTTTTGCTTTTGTCTTTTGTTTTAGCTGGAAGCAAACAGTAATTTTTTTTAATATTTTTTTTGACTCTGTTAAAGAAGGAGTGTTGTTTTAATGCAATATGAATGAAGAAAAAGTTATGGAAACACTATAATTATAATTAAATAAATATTACTAAAATATATATTAAAATATAGTATTATATTATATACTATATAATAATAATTATAATGTAAAAAACATAATGAAATAACTATGTTTTTACCAAAGATGTTGTGACGGGCTAACATTCAGAAGTAATCAATCAAACGTACTGCTGACGTTTTGTGACATAATGTGCTGCGGACCACTCGCCAAATTCTTAGAAATGTTTGCAGAAACCTCCAGACTCTGGTGAAGTGCATCACCCTCAGACGCACCAAGAGCAGTAAGGTGAACGGGCGCCATCTCGTGTCACTTCCCGAGAAGTGCGTATTTGTGGAGCAGGTGGAGCTGAGCCAGCAGGAGAAAGAGGAGTACGAACTGGCACGGAATGAAGGAAGAGACGTCATCCGCAGGTCTGTGCGCTAGAAGGCTGGAAAGTACCGTTAGAGTCACGTGACCATGTTGTCGACACACCTGTTGAAATGATACTGTTAACATTTGTACTGGTTTGTATTATTTTGTGTGTGTGTGTAGATACGTGGCAGAGGGAACAGTGATGTCTAACTACGCTGATGTTTTGTCCATTCTCATGAGGCTGAGACAACACTGCTGCCACCCTGACATGGGCAAGGCTTTGACTCATTCAGATAAAGGTGCAATGTTTTTTGTTTTTTTTTTCATTTTAATGAATTGGGTTTATTTGTATATTTGATTGTTCAACAACACAATATCAAAAGCATGGGTCTCAAAACCCCTGGCCCGCAGGCCACTTCCAGCCCACAAACCACTTGTGGCTGGCCCACACTAGATGTCAGTCTAGTGTGGGCACTGTCATGGGCCTCCCCACTAACAACATAATAAATGGTTTTCATAATAAATGGGCCTCCCCACTAACAACATAATAATTTGGTTATTCAAATGTAATATTGTAATATTTAATCTCCCTCCAATGAGATTATAGCAGTAGTGGTCACAGCATACATGACATTTACCTCATGGTCATCCAGATGAGGCAGCGACACCATCGGAGCTGCGGGAGCGTCTGATAAAGAAGCTGCGGTTGGTGTTGGCCAGCGGCTCTGACGAGGAGTGCGCGGTGTGTCTGGACTCTGTCTGTCTCCCTGTCATCACTCACTGCGCTCACGTTTACTGTCGGCCCTGCATCACACAAGTCATCAGCACTGGGAAGGTAAATGGACTGTCGTCAGCATAGAGTACAATACACTCCACTCCTAAGGACTCCTTCAGTGTATTCATTTTTATCTGTTTCTCTGTGTGTACAAAGGACAACGCCCGCTGTCCGCTCTGTCGAAGTGAGATCAAAACCAGTGAGCTGGTGGAGTTTCCACCAGAGGAAACAGAAGGAGACGATGGTACGAGCTCCTGTCAGTGGAGGACCAGCTCAAAGGTACAATTCAATACAATACATTTACAAATATATGCATATGTAAATATATGTATTTCATCCCTCTTGTTGTTTTAATATATACAGTAGAAATTAAAAAATATTGTTAGTACCTTGACTCAAAAGCTACCACTGTGTGGCGCTGTGGATTATCCTTACATGTCCGGTGGTGCTCCTTGCAGGTACAGGCACTGCTGGGAAACCTGCTCAGGCTCAGACATGAGGACGGCAGCATCAAGTGTTTGGTCGTCTCTCAGTTCACACGTTTCTTGACCATACTGCAGTCTCCCCTCAGGTGAGGGATACAAATACACAGTACAGTACCTAAAGGATTACTGTTCCTACAGCATGTATTATGTTGGTTCTACAAGGAACACAAGGTCCAGTTTTTCACAGAGACTTTTGTCTTGTATTCTGGTTCATTTTTCGTTACAATTTAAATGCACCCTCCATCATCCCCTCCCTGCAGTTAGAACTAAAACAAACTCCCTGGCTAACCATAAGCTATCGCTAACTTATCAGTTAAAAGAAGTTTCAAGTGAGTGGCTTCATTCATTCGAGATACAAGATTTTTCTCCTTCAAAAATTCTGACGCTAAACATAAAAAAGAGTTAGACCGTTCTTGACTGGTTTAAAAGCCACAGACACACCGTAAAGACATGTCAGGAATATCTTTCGGTTCATCGTGTTTCCCTTTTCCCGGTGATCGTCTCCATCAGAGAGCACGGTTTCAGCTTTGTGCGTCTGGACGGAACCATGAGTCAGAAAAAACGAGCTCAGGTGATCAAAGACTTTCAGAGTGCCGACGCCGACAGTCCTACAATCATGCTGCTGTCACTCAAAGCTGGAGGGGTGGGGCTTAACTTGACCGCAGCCTCTCACGTGTTCCTCATGGATCCTGTAAGTACCAGTTTTTAGATCCTTACATATAAAAAGTTTCTACAGTCAAGTAAACCCAGATGATGTGCAGGGCACTGATAGTGTATAAAACATTGTGTATGTAAAATATACATGTACATACATCTATGTATGTATTATAATACTGTATATACATGTGTATGTATGAATATATATAAAATAAAAAAGTTGATATTGTTAAGAAGTATTTAAGTGATGGTTCTAACGTTCATAATGTTTGGTCAGGCATGGAACCCAGCTACTGAGGAGCAGTGTATTGACCGCTGCCATCGTCTGGGGCAGAACAGAAAAGTCGTGGTCACCAAGGTCAGAAATTTGGACTCAGCATCAATTAAGTTAAATCACATTCTGTAGTAGTTAGATAGTTTTGCATTTTGGAAACATTGACTTTGTATGAGAAATGGACTTAGTCACCACTGTTAGCCATAAGTCCAAAGTGAATGTTGTTCTATGAGAACATTAGGTCACATATTTTGAATCTCTTCTTCAAAAAACATACAATTTCAGTTCCTATTCTATGTTAGCCACATGCTGTCCTAATATATCAGTTTTATGTGTCTGTTGTTGCAGTTCATTGTGAAAAACTCCGTGGAGGAAAACATGGTGAAGATCCAGAAGAAGAAGCAGGACCTGGTGGAGAAAACGTTTGGCTCCACAGACACAGACAAGTCAAGATCTTATATAGAGGACGTCAAAGCTCTGTTAGAGCTGTAGATGTTCTACTGCACACTGTATCTGAATCATCACCATCACCACAGATGACCTCAGGTCACTCTTCTATCTTTTATTATGGTAACCTTTTTAACCCAGTTCATTTTCTGTATTCCTGTCAGCAGCAGTGTTCCTGTGACGTGGCACTGGATTTGTAAAGAGAATGTCTATGTTGTTGACAATATAAGATTTCTAAAAACTGCTTGGTGTCATGTGTATGATTCTGTGGCATCTAAACCCACCTGGGACTGGAAATCACATGACTGAAAGTATGACATTTTACTGTCCAAAAATATCTCGTCCAGACATGGACAAACTACGGTCTGTCAAGCACTGGTACAAGCTATGGGAAAGACTGATGTCAATCCTTCTGTTTCCTGCATTACAACGAATCGACTGTAATTATAGTTGATACCACCAGATGGTGCCAGATTTTATTTGAAAGTTTAGGTTTCAAATTGTGAACCTCATTTTAGCCCGTGAACCAAAAGTTTGGGTCTGTTCTCCGGATAAAATATGTAACAGTATTGACACTGCCTTATGACACTGAAGACAAAACTATTTCTTTTTGTTAAATTGCTTTTACTTCGACCCCAATTTTCCTCTTGAACCTGATATGACTAATATTTATGTTCATTGGGATACAGGGAGGCTGGTCACGAAATCAGAGTGCATTGTGGGTGATGTAGTTTATGGTAAATGTATGTTTGAGTCAAATTGGAATTAGAGAATTTGACTGTGTACTGAAGGAATTTTACCTTAAGAGTCGTGTGCATGCCAAACTCTGGTGGGCCACATAGAACGGCTGTGGTAGGCGGGATCTGACCTGTGGGCCTTGGGTTTGACAAAAATCATTACATTAACTCAAGAGTCAAAGTCCAAGTCCTCTAAAAACGTTTAAACTGAGCCACCAGGGAAGAGCATATCTGGTCCAAGTTTAGCGTCTGAGGCTCCAAGTCATTACTGGTGTCGACCAGCTACAAGTCCAGAAGGCAATTATTTAGTGCAACTATTTCTGACATGGATCTGGTCATTATAATATGTAGTAAAACAGGAAAGAATTTTTTTTTTTTTTTCTAACCAGATTTGACTTTATTAGTGCTTTAACAGTGTTGGCAGTGAACAGATGAATCAGAGACTACTTTGTTACACTTCCACCATGGTGCTTTTCAGGAATCAGCGAACGAGTCAGCATCTCGTAGAAGATTGTACGTTGGAGTTAGACAGTACTCGTCTTATCGTTAGCAGTTACAGTAGCAGTTAGGGAGCACACATGCTGGGGTGAGGTCAACAGTGAGGAAGAGGCTCAATGAAAGTCTTTTTGCCGTGCTGTTAGCAGCAGTTACAGTAAATGCACTGTTGTAACACTGGAATGACAGTAAGGCAGCCGGTTGAAATGCAAAAAGGAAGTGATGAAAGCTTTAGGTCTGGTCCGGTTGTAACATGCACAGCGTTGATGACACGTCTCTCAATTCACACAGAAACACAAGTACAAGAGAACTTTAGGATGAGGGAGGATTTCCGTGACGTTGTAACACTGCCATGCAAACGCAACATAAGCACGGCTCAACACCAGGCACAGATACAGTACGATGGAACCGCTGAGGGGAATGAGATTGTCACAACTGGCTAAGAATGAGAACACGGAGGAAGAGGAATACGAAGCTGTTACAGCGTTTTTAACCCTAATCTGCTTCAGTACAGTGACTCACTACCAGGATGAAGTCGTGGGTTACACAGGTTTTGGTTTGGCCCACTGCCTGGTTTCATAGTTGCTGGAATTTTTCCACAGTTTTAGGAAGACGCAGGATTATCAATCCATACGTATCATACACTCAAAAAGAACAGCGAGGCATTTTGGGAAGTTTGATGTTTTGAATTTAAACCACAGGAAACAGGGAAAACACTTTTGTAACCCACTCAACCACACGGAGACCAAAATGTATTCAAATACGTGTGTAACTAATTAACTAACTAGCTATTAACTTAACTCTGAAATGGTCGGTCGTCACGTCAATAATGAACTGAGGTTTCAACAGTCCACCAACCACAGCTACGGACTGTGCATGGATGAAGTAAAAGAGGGTGGAGTAGATGGAGACGAGTGTCAGCTGAGAGTTGTGACAGAAGAAAAGCTGCAAAGTTGAAAGTTCAGGGTTATGAGACAGTAGTGAGATCTGCTATGATGTGTGGTTTGGAGACAGTGGCTCTGTCTAACAGACTGAGTGCACTGAGGTGGAGGTGAAGAAGATGAAGATGCTCAGATTTTCACTGGGAGTGATGAAGTCAGGAAAGACGAGAGGAATAGTTCCCGACAGGATGGTGGAAACATCGCAATCTACTGTAATGTCTAATGTGGTGAAGTTCCCAGGAAGGAAGCTGGGAACTTTTGAAGAATAGCAGTCAAGCCAGTTTTTTAACCTTGGGGGCGCCTAGAACAGAGCTTTTTTTGGGTGAATGTGAGTCTCCTTCTGTCCGTCTGCCCTAACCCACACACACACACACACACACACCATTGGCGTAACTGCATCTTCTGTGTGTTCCAATGATGAGTTTGTATAATGTACCTGAAAACGATTCATTTTCACAACTTTTTAAAAATGGCATTCATAAACGATTATTTGCAACAGCAAATAATTTCACTTCATGCATGCAACTTTATGCAATCCTCCCCTGTGACTCTTTGGCGCCCCCCAGGGGAGGTGCCCCTCACCCATTGAAAATCACTGGCCTAGAATTCTAATTCTAATGGGGTCGCCTGAAATGTCTACTAGTTAAAATTACTGATAAAAATATTTTTTCAATATCTGAGCTGGAGCATTGATTGATAGCTGCGATCACGTGACTGAAAAAAAAACTAATTCTGGGGTTTCCAGAAATTTGTGTGGGACGATGATGTTCAGTCAAGAAGGTTCTTGTAACAGAAGAACAGAGAAGGAATGGAGTGAGATGGAGGCAGACACAGACTTGGTCACTGAGACAAACATTTGTGGAAGAATGTCGATTGCCCTGTTTCCTGTCTTTTTTTCCCCTACATCACTTCATTATCATTTTTTCAAATCTATCATTATTAATTATAATTATATTAATCCTTCTTTAGTGATTGAGCTCCTTTTCCCAAAATGTCAAGCCTTCTCTTTTTAAGGAGAAATAAAGTGAATGATAAGTGCGTGGGAACCTCTACTCTCCGTCATTCCGTCACACTGACAGGATGCAGAGGGTGAGGCCAAGAGTTTGTTCAGTCACCTGCCGATCAAGCTCCAGTGACGGGCCGAGCGGTGGTGTGGTGGAACACCCGCCGCCCTCACAGCCAGAGCTTCACGTGGCGCTGCCTCCGTCCGTCACACCCCCTCTGTCCGCCTGCTACTTCAAAAAGGAGTCGAGCTTCTGCTCGATGTTGGCGAAGGCGTCATCGCCCAAGTAGTCGATCTGCCCCGCCTCCCAGCGCTGCTTCCTCTCCTCTGACGAACGCTTCTGCGGAGGTGGAGGAGGAGAAGAAGAAGAGGCTGGAGAAGGAGACGGTGGCTGTTCACTCACCTCCTCACTGAGTTTTCCCTGTGAGACAGACACAGATGTGCAGAGACAGAGAGAGACAGAGCAGTTGAGGAGAAATGAATGGCTGAAGCTCAGAGCAGTGCTTTATATGGAGTGATTTCACCAAGTTCAACTTCAGCTTGACTCACCCCTCCTCTCCACCCCCACCCCCAAAATGGAATTTCCTCACAGGGGAATTTGCTCTTTCTACCCTCAAATGCCACATGCAGGCATTTCTTCAGTGTAAAAGTAAAAAAGTGACATTTCACGACACTTTTCCAGCCGATAAGAGCAGAGTTTGTTAGCAGAGAGCGTACCCTAACCCTGGTTGATAAAATTAGTCCATGTTTCATATTTCAAGTATTTAATCCAAACTATTTACAGCCCGCTCATATTAATGTTGGAGTATTCGTGCATTTTACTGTAGATGACCCCGACCTGCAGACTGCAGATGGTATTTGAACCATGGCTGGAGTCCAGAGCCATAAAAACAGCTTGTATGTACACGCTCCTAACCCATGAGCAGCACAGAAGTTTACTGCTGTATATCACCACGAGATGAAATGATTACAAATCACACAATAAAAAAAACACTGGCTAGAAATCTGGTGTAGTAAAAGAAGTACTTTAAATGATGAAATTATTTATTTCATCATATATATATTAATATATATTATATATATTATACATCACATGTTTAAATTTGCTTTTAAAACTTATAACTGATAACTGTTGATTGACAGAAATGAAACTTATAACTGATAACTGTTGATTGATAGAAATCCTTTGTGTTACGTGGCTCTCCACCTGAAAACTAGAAGGTTCTCCTGAAGGGATTTTTGATTTTCTTTTAATTAAATATCAGGGCTAGCATCTGTCTGCCTGAAAAAGCTAGCAACAGCAGGCTACACAGCTAAACTCCACTCTAAAAAATGCAGTTAAAACATCCAAACTTCGGCACAAAAAAACAAACTTTAGCTTTAATGTCACCGACGCGGGTGTAACTGCTGTTAACTCCAGTCTGTACATGTCAGTGCGACACAACTGGGCACAGCTCCAGGTTGTTGGGCAGAGCAACAGGTTTGGCCGTGACAGTTGTGTTTGAATTTACCCACAACTATTTCACTACGACAGTCACCAGAGAAACGTCCTGGCATTTGGCTTCAGCAGAGGATTGTGTGACTAATTGATTTCTCCATGATGTGTAATACTTGGCAACATTGTTCATTTGTGGGTAAACAATTACAACTGTTTCAGATGTTAGCAGGGACTCCAAGCAAACGGCTCAGGAAATGTATACAACCTGCCCTTAACATTGAGGATTTTCTGAAACTTTTCCTGAAACACAAAATGTGGAAAAAGTGTCTTTGCCACGGAACATGTCAGGTCGTTTATATGTCACTCAAATATAGGCTGACCAAAATCATTATAAAGAACCTTGGCTAGAGAAATATACTAAAATTAGCAACAAGCTAGCTTTAAAAAAAGCTGAATAACTGATAAAAGTATAACCCATAAACAACCGTTCAAAGTCCAAAATATAAAAAAAATAAGTTAAACGAAAAGTTGAACAAAAGGATAAAAGAATGATAGCCCAGAACTAGCTTAATGATAGCTTCCAATACCGTGGAAAATAGAAGTAGGTTAGCCATGAGATAAGGGGTAAACAGTGCAGTAAACTGTAGCTAACAAAAGTTTCTAAAAAAAATCTAAAAGTTTAGAAAAGAAGCCTAAATAATAAAATATTTGCTAGCTGTTATGACATCAGAAACCAAAAATAGCCAAATTAGCTCTTATATAGTTTAGCTCAAACAATGTGTAAAGGGGTAAAGTTGACTATAAACTTTGCTAATAGTTAGCACAAAAATTCAGATAGCATGGAAACCACCAAACATCTGCAGAGAAGACAGCTAAAAATTAGCCTTGAAAAAACACAACAACATTATAATAACGTTAGATAAAAATACACTGGTTGTCTATTTGAAATAGTCAAAAGAAATGTGACACTAAATCAACACTCAGGGAAGATGATGATGATGATGATGATGATGATGATGATGGGGCAGTTTTTGTGATCGCACGAGATCAAAGGATTTGGAAAGACCTGCTTGGAAACCAGAAGTTTACTAACGATTAGGTGTTTCCACACACACAGTCGAGATGTGACAGTTATGCAACACCTCGGACAAATAAAAACACAGGTAGAAGCATTCCACTGCTGTTCTTCATGTACAGTATGTCTCACACACCACTCCTCAAATCAACCTCCGCATTTTCACACACACTCTGCCGATGACTTACGTTCTGGTCGGACTCTTCTAAGCCGCTGCTGAAGTCTGTTTCTCCAAAGGCCTTCTGGAGCAAAGGCAGCACCTGTCTGGTGTACAATTGCCACCACATGAGCAGGTAGTCGGGGTGGAGGCTACCCTGGCCGGGTGACAGGGAGTGACCTTTCATCTCGCCCCGCTGAGAGTCATAAGAGTAGTTCCAAGGCTTGACGGCACCCAGGAAGTGCACCACCTTTGCGTTGTGACCATACCTGTTTAAAATAGAAGGTGTTGTGGCTTTTATAGCTCAATTATGTGAATTTGTGACTTGCAAAATAGAAGGTGTTGTGGCTTTTATAGTCTTTATAGTCAAGTCTTTTGTGACTTGTTGTGAAAAATAACTGCCCATTGCACAGGCACAGAGGCATTATTAAGATGGCATCTCGGGGATTCCATAAAGACCTCTAACCAAATAATTTGCTTTATATCTTTCTGCATTACCTTGTTAGCTTACACCAGAACAACATACTGGACTTCTCTTGTGCAGGCACAGAGGCATTAATAATCAGAACAGTTGAATAGTTTTGGGTATTGGTAAATTTGATATTATGGCTTCTGTCCAACTGGTCCACAAACATGCAAATCTTCAAGGATTTTCTGTCATAGCTTTACATGCTAGCAAGAGGTTAGAGTTGTATTTAACCCTTACACTGCCCTACTTCTTCATCTCAACAACAGCCTAGTTATCCTTCACATGGTCAAATGTGAACAAAGGGCAAAGATAAGGGATAAATGGGTGGCGTGTGTGTGTGTGTGTGTGTGTGTGTGTGTGTGTGTTTACTTACTGTTTAAAGGCAGGCAGGTAGGAGTAGATGGCGATACTGCTGAGGTTATAGATGAAGGGAAGGTGCTTAGAAATATCTGCCGTTGCCCAGGTGTTAAAGAAGCTGTTGAGAACCCCTTGATCTCCACCTGCAGACACAAACGTTAAAGATGAAAGACTTCTTTGGTTGTTTGTAGCCGTAGAGTTCTATAGTAATGTCCCCGTTTGCTTTAAGAACCTTATCTAATCTCTGGCTCTTGAAACCCCCGAGGCACACATTACACACATACCTGAACAGTCTACACCACACTGAGTCCTTTCTGATGAGCGGTAACGGAGAACAAATGTTGACAGGACTGTAAGTGGATGCTAAAAGTGTTCAGAGGTTCTGTAATGAGTTCCTAGAAGTTCTAAGGCTGGACGGTGTGATTAAAGTTAAACATCCAGGCCGTTCACTGCAGTAAGTTACATCAAAGTGAAGCTTCGCTGCATTCGTTCGACCAAAACGACTTGAGTTGAAAAAGGTTGGCGTTGGGCCGTAGTTCCTAGTGCGTCTCACCGTCGAAGCTGCCATTCTCAGCACAGAACGTCAGCAGCTGCTCGTGCGTTTCGTTAGACGGTCGGAAGACAAAAACTCCGGAGTTGAAGCAGTCGGGCCAGCCAGGATCTGGAGCTGCAGAGAGCTCCTCCCTCTCAAAGAGTTCGTCAACGTTAGACAGAACCTAATCAGGGAGATGAGGAACACCTGTAAGCTGGAGCTGAGATACTGTGGAGAGGGCAGTGTTAGTCTTATGACTAGTTAGTGTCACTACTAATTTATCTGTAAAATATTCATGTCAATATTACAAAGTTGACACGAGTCTGTGACCAGTTCTACATCAGTTTATATGTTAACNNACTGACAAAGGAGGTTGTTGACTAAGTCATTCAGTGCTGGTTCATTTTCATGTCTTTTGGTCTCAACACTGGTTTGTTTATATAAAATAATAATAATAAAATCCCTACCTAAGAATTACCCATCATGCGTCGTTACATCGACTTTATTCAAAAACCAAAGTTCAGCCACGATGTATTTACTGTCTTTCCATCTGACGGTACAACTCACCAGTGTGTCTGCGTCCATGAACACACACTTGCTGTAGTGTGTGAGGGTCCAGCAGTGCAGTTTGGTGAAGGTCACTCCCAGGTCTGGACGCTTCATCAGGGCCAGGTGGGCCACATCACCTGAGTCCAGGACGTCCACCAAACACACCTCATCGAAAATGGAGCCCAGTGCTTCTCTACACACACACACACACACACACAAAAACAGTGTGTGTGATCCTTTATGTCAAACATGTGGCCCGTGGCCCAAATCTGGTCCGTTTCCTCATTTTATGTGGCCCACCAGAGCTAAATCTGTGTGTGATTTCTCAACGGTAAAAGTAATAGAGCTAAATCTGTGTGTGATTTCTCAAAGAAATCACATTAGGTAAAAGTAATGTTTAGTTTTCATCTTTTAGAAATGTATTTTATTTGTATTAATTAAAATAATCTTACCTGCAAGGTTCTGCCACATGAGGTCCCACCAGAACAACCAGTTTCTTGGAAGTGTTATGGTTTCGCAACGACTGGCCGAGAACCAGCGCTCCTTTGGCGTAGCTGTCGGTTGTGGCCAACGTCACAAAAGCTTCGTCTGTTTTGAACAAACACACACACATATATTTCTTAATAAAGGAGCACCTGTTTTTTTTCCTTCATTACTTCCTGCAACACAATACACATATTTAGATATACATCGCGGCCTTACGGCTAGGTACATTATTTAGCGGCTAGCTGCGGCTACTAAATTATCGCTGCCCCTATTTCTTATTTCCATTCCAACTGAAGTTGGCTTAGTTTTGGTAACGGTGCTGTCGGCCATGTTCAGGATTTTCCTCTTCAGTTTACAGTCTGTGGGAAACAGAACTGATGAACTGCAACAGGGCCATGTTTTTGTGGCCACGATGTCACGCCCTGCCTCCAGAGACTACCATCTATCATTCAAGTTTCCCATTCATTCAGACATGAGAGACTTTTTGTTCATTCATGGTTGACCTGCAGAGGGCAGAGCCATCACGCTGTTTTTCGAAGCCCAGTGTTCTGGATTCCTGGTATCTGTGGATGAATGGACACCGTCACTGTCCATTTTTAACTTCTGTCTCACTCACAGTTTGCAAATGACACAACTGTGGTGTTGAAATGAAACCACAGTTTTCCACAGAAACTTCACGCCTCACCCAGTCTAGTTTTCATAGTGGTTTGGCTGACAGGTATCGTTCCCATTGTACCTTCACGCCAACGCTTCAGCAGTGGAGTAACAGCGACCTGCTGTCATTTCCTAGCACATTGTTTGAGCCGTCAGCCTCACTTCCTGTTCCGTGGTGTCAACCTGACTAATTGGTTCCCGCTCCAGCTGCTGATCGCATTTTGGAAAATATAACAAATCATAAAAACAAAGAAAAACAATGAACCAGAAGCAGAATGCTGATGCAGGCTTGTTGAACTAAATCACACGTTGCCAACTTTTTCCTCCGTGTTCAGGGAAACCCCTGCATGTCCCTGTTCATCCCATCTTCACTGCAGCCAAACATTTCTATGCAGACCTACTGTGGACGGTCCAATGTGCTGCACATCCATCGTTCACGCATTAGCGACAGCAGAGGACACACTGGAGCGACTTGACTGAATGTGGGCCCAGAGCCAACGCACTGTGTGATGGTGTGTGTGTGTGTGTGTGTGTGTGTGTGTGTTCTGTGGGCCTCTTGGAAATGTGATCAGCATGCTGAAGTTGCACAGCCATTTGTTTGGTCTGATACAACTTCCCATGAACTAAATATTAAAACTGTGTGCAGCCTTTGTGGCGGCCAAGGTCGAACAGGAAACATGTGACGTTATCTAACGGCGTCATCACGTTTCACTGGAATCAAACACTGATGACTGGTGCATCTCCAGGTGTGACGTGTCTCATTTGTCAGTTGTGAGCACATTATGTAAATGTTTTGCACGGAGGTGATTTTACACCTTGGGATAAAATCCGAGTTTGTTCCGATTAATGCGACTTCAGCCACATATTCTGTAATAAAATACAGTTTGTATTTACATACAGCGATGTCACCGAGAAAACAAATTGATTATAGGAGTTCTGTGTCTATTGAGGTCAACTAATATAGATTTTTCTGGAATTTAAAAAGCATCAAACACAGTGACGGTGCTGTTTGTCATAACTCTGCAGAACTTGTATCACATCCGTGTAGTAACACACTGTGTTACGAAGGTGTTACCAAAACTGTCGTACAAACACGGAGTCGCTGTGAATTAATCAAAAAATAATAATGATTATTTGTAATCTTAGTTAATCTAGATTAATAATGATAACATTTTTAATGAAAAACATTACTAAAATAATTCATTCAATAAACCTGGTAAAGTATGGTTTAATTTGTTATAGTAGTAACGGTACTGTAGAGTAGAGGCAGTAGTTTAGCCTCAGGAGGGGTGAGCGGAGGAGTCCACATTCACACCCTAGATTCTGGGCCTAATTACAGTAAAATATTGCCCTGTGTTACGAGGGTTGTATTAATTACAGCTCTAAACATTAGTTGTGGTGCAGTGGTTTTCTACAGCAGTAGAAAAAAAAAACCCTGACATGAAGACCTCACATCCTGCACGTCCACACCAGAAAAAAAAACCCTGTCAAGTTAACCACAAGCCCCACATCAGCCCAGGAAGTCAACGAGGTCCTCTTTAAAGTAAAGGTATACATCATCTGGAGGTTTCATCAGACAGTTTTTTTAATTAATAATTTGCTATTTTTTTATTACCACTTCTGGTTACAAAGATATGGTCATTCAAACACATTTACAGACGTGATTTTCATTCTGATTCTGATCGTCCCAAACTTCACTCAGCTCATCAATAGCCCTGTGGTGGCTCCAGCGTACAGTCAGGTTTCAGGGTGAACATGAATAAAGTGAAAAACATTGACCAGGAGAAATGCTGGTGATGTAACGAGTCTGCGTTTCACTTGCACAACCGTCAAGGTCCAACCGTGCAATAAGTCACACTGACATTTCCTGTTTGACACACGACCTCAGAATGAGAAAAGGTCAACATCTCACCAGAAACAAATGGTCAGAGGCTCTGTTTAAACTTTAAACCAAGCTCAATTTTAGACCTAAGATTTAGCTTTTTTGTTTGGGTTTAATTAGACATTTAATGATTGATGATTTAATTTCATTTTTGTTTCTTTAATGAACCAAAAAAAATGGCAATTCGAAAATAATTTGGTAGTTTTGCAAGTTATCATTTCGGTTTTTTTGCACTAACATTACAACTTTTTTTTTTTAACTAACATTACAACCAAAGACAAAGACTTAAAAGTAATGACCTTGAGCTTTAGAAATAGGATGAAAAGTTTAGTCAAAAATGTGTGAAATTAAAACAGATTTTTTTTTTAATTCCAAAGACTCTGAGTTTGCTCTGAACTCCTGTTTATTCTGTAATCCCACTCTGTTTGATTTACCCCCCCTCCACCTCCACCCCCCGTGGTTATCTATGCTGCTGAACATGTGTGCACCCTCCACCGTACTGTACTGTACTGTACTGTACTACACTGGTTACTTCATGGAGCAGTACAGTATGTGGTAACTCAGTCTCACTAGTCCAGCAGCCTTTGGCCTGTCCTGCTGGAAAAAAAACACTCATCTCTCCAACATGATGTAAAAGTGATGTAAACTAAAAGTTAGCCAATAACTTTAGCATTAGTGAATATTTGGGTGAATAAAAAAAACAGTTTAAAATATAAAGAAAAAAGCTGTATATTTTAACATAATATATATTATATGTTTATATATTTGTGTATTTTAAATACAAAATTGAGTTTTTTATTTAAAAACCCAAATAATTGAAAATACTATAAAGATATTGAAAGTTTTTATTTTATCAAGTGGAATTTAATGTTAAGATATAAGCATGACATTTCTAACAATTATTTTAATTAAATCAAATTCTATTTAATGTAATGGCTTTTAAGTTGAAATTAATACGGGTTTAATTGTTAATTGTCATATAATAGTATGTACGACGTAACAACAGGTATTTATTTTGAAAATCCTAACCAGAAATGCCGGTAATACTAACCGGTAACTTTACTATGGTCCATTCTCTGCAGCAATTCATCTTTTTCATCTCTCACTCGATCTTTTAAAACGACCACCTCGTCGAGCTGCCTGACACTCATCCTCTCATGTCTCTTATTTCAGCGGTAAATCGTGCTCATATTCGTCTCTACAGCGGTAAACGAACAATCGCGATGTTTCAGGCGATGCGCAGAGTTCGTGCTGCAGCTCCGGTTCGGACGGTTCCGGAGCCGGCGGCCGAGTTCTGGTGTCAATGCGGCGGCCGTGGGTGGGTGTCGCACTCACCTGACATGGTGCAGAGAGGAGAGTCCACCCGTGGGTCGGGGGTCGCGATTCGTAAGACGTGCGGTTTGCACTGCGAAGGGCAGAAGCGCAGCAGCTGAGAGCAGTCCAACACAGGAATTAAGCCCCACATTTTCCGGGTCATGTGACCACTAACAGGTGCCACGCCCCCCTCTGCACGTTCCCTCTCTCTCTTTCTCACTCACTCACTCCTCTCTCGTTCTAGTCTTTCTAGTCTATTATTATTATTATTATTATTATTATTATTATTATTATTATTATGACATGTTTTCAGTATTTGTCTGTGTTCGTGTCTGGGGTTTGTTACAATAGTATTCAAAGAAGTTTAATTTTATTTTTGCTTTTCGTCTTCTTCTGTGAGCTGATCCTGTCTCTCCCCACTACTCACTTCTTCTGATTTTTAACAGCGACTGTCTTAATTTTAGTGTCAATACCGCCATCTGTGGGCCAAATGTGTAAATATAAATTCATGTAATACCCCAGTAAATGCATTTATTAGTTGTTCATTGAAACAAAAACAAAAATCTGAAACCAAAGTATAAAAATGCATAGTTTAAACCAGTAGTTTCAAACTCCTGGCCTGGGGACCACTTCTGGCACATGAACCTCTCATATCTGGCCTCTGACTATATGTCAATAATATATACATATATATTTTTTTAAGGTTATTATATTAGAAATATCAGTTGTATATCTGTAATAATTGTCTTTGTAGGGTTAGGGTTAGTAAATACTGTGAATATGAAGTTATATTGTTGTTTTATTTTTTCCCTATGTTTTCTTGCCGATGGATATTATTAGCGGCTGTAACTCGTCTGCACCAGCAGCTGATTGTGTCTTAGGGTCTCTCCACCCAAACTGTTGTCACCACATGGATGACAGGAGGTGGAGCAGACGCCTGAAGTGTGTCCGTTAGGTGGAGAGAGTAACCGGAGATCGCCTGCCAGTCACAGAGTGAAACCGGGCTGATCAGGTGTCTGGGAGAGAAAAGACCGGAGGCGTTGCTAAAAAGATGGAGTCACCGTGCGCTGGGCAGGGGGTCAGAATGTAGACACTGACTTTGACCTTGAAGAGATCAGGTATGGAAATGTCTTGATGTTGTTGATGTGAGGAGAAATCAGGCAGATTTGACATTTTAATAACGTGTTTTTTAACCGTTGAGCAGCGAAGTTAAAAGAGAAGTCGTCCGGCCAGAGGAGGCGAGGATAGGAGGCCCAAAGAAAAGGGTAAGTAATAAAAGAGAGTGCTCATGAGTGCAGGGCTCGACCCACTGGAAGGTGACTTTCTGACCTGGGATCAGTGGACTCTAAGCCTTTCAGCCTGCCTTTTATTCTTCTATTGCATTAAGGTCCTGTTCTGTGTTCTGTAGTACAGGGGACAGTTAGGAGATCCTGACCTGAACAAAAAGGACTAATGACCCAAATCCAGAAATTAGAAAAAAAACTCCTACAGTTAGTTTCATTTCAGGAAAACAGATATAGAGTGACGGTGTTCGTGTTTTACTGTAGTAGAGCGATGAGCGCCGCAGTGAAGTGGTTCAGTTTAATCTAAGTGATGACATCGTGTGTGTGCCTCCGGTTACACAGCATTGTGTTAACACTTGCCTTCATGTATTAAACATGGGTGACAGAAAAACAAACAGTTTTTAGTAAGAAAATATATCATGGAACAACAGCAGTGAGCTACGGAAAATAAAGTCTACCTGCTTTGTTAATCCATTTTAAAGTTTCATATTCTACAAATTCACTAAAAGTTATTCTACTGTATGTTAAGTTAATAAAAGTTAACTCAGTAGTAGCTGACATTTTATTCTAATCATCTTTAACTTAATTAACATATCAAAATATGTCACTGAAATTCACAAGTTAACCTAAAAGATAGCTCAAAACTAAATTTTAAGTACAACTAGAAAAGCTAAGGCTTCACTTAGATTTATCAAGGCTAACAGATAGCAATGGTTGGCCAAAAACTAGTGAGAGTCAATTCTCCAGGAATAGATAAGTTTCCCAGAATCTTTCAAATATATATTAAATAGACAGGAGTTAGCTAAAAGGTAGCCCAAAGATGAGGTATTAGTTAGACTTTATGTTTGACTTTTCTTTCCTGAAGGGCAGACTTTTAAATGCTGATGTTCGTAAAATAGTTTGGGGCCATATAAGAATTGTCAAGTGCCGTGATTGGTCCCCAGGCCGGACTTTAGACACAACTAATCAAGTTTTATGACTAGGTTTGGAAAGTGTGGTCTATAGTTAAAGAGCCAACAGAGAGTCTAGTATTGACTTCCTTTTTTTGTCCTGACGATACTATAAATACACAAATGTACACATTAACTGCAACCGGTCCATGAACTGAGTAAAAGATGATGACACAGCTCAGGTGTTAAATGTTAACGACACCTGTCTCAGGGTGCAGGCAGACCAAAGGTCCACTCCGTGCCTGTCCAGGAGTGGCTCCTCCTAGGAGAGATAATCAACTTCTCTGCCTCTCTGGGATCTAGCTTCCTCCCTGCTCCGGTCTCCAGTCTCGCAGGACTCTGGACGACTCCTCTGCTGCAGCCAGTCCACAGGGATCTGCTCCCAGGAGGCTTCCATATCTTAAGACAAGACCGACGAAGAGAATACAATGAAGGTACGTCTGTGTCTTGGTGTCTTTGTTCGCTGCAGTACCTGTTCTAACATACCTGCATGTGTGTGAACGGCTCATTGAATAAAGGTTGGTCCTCAGCTGACTGGGCGCGGTCGTGAGACAGAAATGGAAAGATTTGATGGTTTATGATGCAATTTTCACATTAACTTGGCCAAACCTTTATGGTTTATGATGCAATTTTCACATTAATACTAATTAACTAATTAATTAAAATAGGCTTTTAATACTTTTTAATACTTTTTATTTTGATACTTTTAATACTTTTTAATACTTTTATTTTGATATCACAAGGACAAGTGAAATAACATAAGACCAAAAACAACAAACAAACTCCAGAAAAGGAAACGTCAAAACTTTGGTCAAAACCTATAGCAAAAAATGAGCTAATGGTTTCGTATTAACAGGTAGAATTAGTCAAAGCAGAATTCTAGCCATTGTTATTGGTGAAAGGCTGGCAAAAACTATAGCAAAATAGCTTAAATTAGCCAAAGAAAATTGCTTGTGTTAAACATACTGTAGAAGTGCAACACATATTCAAAAGTTTCAGATAGCTAAGAGCCAGAATAAGGAGTGGGTTTTTTTATTTCAGCTAAAACATAGAGGAAAAAAATAGCTAAACATTGTATATTTTTTCAGATAGACATTAGCTTTATCATGTAGCACAGTGTTTCTTAGACTTTTTTGAGGGGGCCCATATTTTAAAAGTCCCAACCCTTTGCGTCCCATGTCAATAGACATTATCTGTAAACTCCTGAGAAACATGATGCGAGATGAGCTGAAAAAAAAAACTGCGAGCTACCTGAGGGTTGCGACCCCGTCTTTGGGAAACAACAATATAGTAGTGTTGTGCTCATAATCTAAATTACTCAAAAGAAAACCAAAGGTTAACAGTCCAAAATGCAAATGCAAAAATTGCCAAAATGGCAACCCAAAATACAATACCCCAAAAAAAGAACAAAGAAGAATTCCTCACATCTCCGGTTCAACATTTGTTCGGTCATTCCAGGGGTACAGAGGAGCAGCCAAAATGGAGAACCATGTCACACAGATTTCCAGAGATGACCTGGAAGAGCTCAGGGAAGCCTTCAACAAAATCGGTCAGATTTCCACTCACATGCATCACATAATCAAACGCATACACACAGACTTTAATTCTTTTGAATATTCTATGCATATGTAATTACTATGGTTGAAAAAAGAAGCAACTTCTCATGAAAATGTTGCTTAAAAATGTATCTTTGGTTCCAGAAGTCAGAGATGTTACAGCCAACCATAAAGGCTGGTCTTATGTAAGATTTTTTATTATTATTTCAGGGAGTGCAGTGTGCAATGTTGTGTGTGAGAAAGTCACACACATAATAATTAGACAACACCTGATAAGTGAGTGCACGGTTATAAAACTGGTCTTGTAAATAAATACAAGGTGAATCTGACCTTTGTTTTACTTTATTGCACATGGTTTGGAAAAGTGAAGAAATAAGAAGTCTTAATTTAATGTGACTCGTAATTCGTGTTTGTTGTGTGCGAAACGTGTGAATTTATGTAAAATTGGCGATGATCAAAGATGATTTAGTTCTATTAGTTTTATTTCGTGAAATTTTATACATAAAAAATAAACAGTGTCATAAAGTCACAGTCATGAACATCACGGTGTTGTTGTAAATAACGCAGGTCCTAGGATAGATCCCTGAGGAACACCGTTGAAAAGAAAAGTGTACATATTGTACAGGTGTGCAACGCAAGATGTAGATTTGATTTTAAATATCAGGACTATTGTTTACAAACATTTTAAAACTAGTTTTAAACACGACGTGCATTTGATGCCATGAAAACATCACATATGACTTTGTTTGTGTTTGTTTCTCTGCGCGTTAACTCACGTCCTCAGACATCGACAACAGCGGCTACGTGAGTGACTTTGAGCTGCAGGAGCTGTTCAGAGAGGCTAGCTACTCCCTGCCAGGATACAAGGTGAGGGAAATCATGGAGACCTTCATTGCTGGAGACACCAACAAGGACGAGAAGATCAGCTTTGAGGAGTTTGTTTCTGTAAGTTCACACAAACACACCTGGACCATTGAATCTCTCCACACCGCCTCTTCATCTCATCTCTCTTCTTCTCCGTTCCTGCTCAGATCTACCAGGAGCTGAAAAGCAAGGAGTTAAGTGAGACCTTCAGGAGAAACATCTCGAGAAGAGACGGCATCCGGTCCTTTGGTGGAATGTCAAAGATATCCAGCGAGGGGACGCAGCATTCCTACTCTGGTGAGAGAGATGATGCTTTCTACTTCTCGTTGTCATGGTTACAGTCAAGCCACAACTGCAGAACTGCAACTAACCAGCGAATAAACCTTGATCAAGCAGACGGTTGTTTTCATAATCAGCAAACAAGTCATGTGATTCATTAAACACAAACGTAGTTGATGTGTGTTAACAATTCAAAATAAGAACATCATGGATGTTTTTGAGCCAATTAGCCAGAGTGAACTGTAATTAGAACGACTCACTAACAATTATTCAATGATCATAATCGGTCTTTGACTAATTTAATTAGTAAGTCATCAGCTGGACAACTAATTGTCAAAGCTCCCCTCTATTCAGGAAAATTGAAAGATTTTGCAACTGTTTGAATAAAATAACCTTATACTTCACTGAATTTCTTGAATGTTTTTTAATCGACACATATTTGAACATTGCTTGTGTTCGATGGTGAATCCCATATAAACAGCTTTACCACCTTTAAAAAATATTTTATTTCTTTACTTGCAATGTAGTATTAAAACAGGTCGCTGCAGTTTTATTGAACCTGCCGGGTGTTTGAGATGCAGTTTCTACCCCGGTTATGGTTTTACTTTATGAGACAATAACATTTAAAGAGAAATATATAATCATAGTATTATGTTCCTTGCAGTACAGGTTATTTTAGGTTTCCTTATAAGTACATTTTTATCCGTTGACACGGCATGTGGTAAAATGACTTTTTGCATACCACAGTTATAAAAGGAAATCAACGGTCAAAGCAAAGGGATGGATTTGAACCTGGGACCCGTCCATATAGTTTGACAGTTATAAAAGGAAATCAACGGTCAACAGGCCCAAACATTATTTTTTATGACTGAAGGCAAAGAAATAGCTCAGATGTAGCAGGAAACAAAAAACAAAGAGCAAGATGTTGTTTTTTTTATTTTGTGGTGTAAGAGAAATTTTAAAAAATATATATAACATATAACAAATAAATAACACAAACGTTGACATTTACCAGTTAAATTTTGTTTGTTTGTTTGTTGACTAAACGAGGATGTGTTTGCTTGAGTTTAGATCAAGAGAAGGTGGCCTTCGTTAACTGGATCAACAAAACTTTGGCCAAAGATCCAGACTGTGAACACCTGCTGCCCATAAACCCCAAAGACGGCAGCCTCTTCAAATCTGTCCGGGATGGAATCCTGTTATGGTAAAACACAAAAACAACACTCTAGTCCACTGAGCGCCAATTAACGCAGTGAAGAACTCACCTGCAGTTTGGACATAAAAGAGAAAAGGGGGAGGGGAGGGAGGGTATGGAGACCAGGGACAGAGACTCCTGTGAACACTCCATTCTCAGTACAGTCAGGTGTAAATCTTTATTGTGGGTCGTTCCCTCTCCCTGTGACTCTGTGTAAAGAGCACAGTGGGTTTTACAGAGTGATAATTCTTCACCTCTCAGATTAAACTCAAGGATTACCTCGCTGCCTTTACATAACGGTTCCCTTCCCTCCTTTCCACACAGACAGTAAAATGATCAACCTGTCTCAGCCTGACACCATTGATGAACGAGTCATCAACACCAAGAAACTCACCACCTTCAAGATGACTGTGAGTTCTCTGTACTTACTTTTTTGGTTCATTATTAAACTCAGAGACAGGACTTTTGGATGGGTGTGATTAAACAGAGAGCATGAGGCCCTGCCTCCCCTGCAGGTGGTGCTAAAGATACAGTGCAAAGGTCCATTTGACCATTTTCAGCAGTAATACATCACACCAGGTTTTATTCAGATGTTGATAATATATTGTATATATATTGTGTGTTGTTCAATATAGGAGTTTGATCAGCTTTAAAATACTAGAAAAAATATGATGTGTTTATTTATATTTTTATTTTTATTTTACAAATCAGTGTTTTGGTTGGAGGTTTTTTGGGGGTGAATTTTTGCATACACTGTGTTTGCAAATAATAAAACTTTTCTTCAGAACATTGTAGTGCTGTATTCCAAAGTAGAGGTCTGATGACTCAGGTGGTTATGTTGCGATAAGCATATGAACCTTTCACCGTAGGAGAATCTGGTCCTGGGTCTGAACTCAGCCTCAGCCATCGGCTGCACAGTGGTGAACATTGACGCCCCTGATCTGATGGCTGGGAAACCCCACCTGGTCCTGGGGCTGCTGTGGCAGGTTATCAAAGTCGGCCTGTTTGCTGATATAGAAATGAGCAAGAACGAAGGTCAGAGTGCTCTCTCACACACACACACAAACACACACACACAAACACATAACAACCAGCTCGTTTTATTGTGTCCCATTTAAAGTTGAGATTTTGAAAAGAACAGACACAATTTTGTTGCTATCGTGTGTTAATTATTAGCACCACAGCCTATTGTCAGTGGCTACATAGCACTTTATATGTGTATGTATATGTTAAATAAAATAAAAAATAAAATAAATATATTATTTTATTATTATTATTACTTATTTTATATATATATAAAATAAAATAAATATACAGTTATATGTTAACCTTTCTCCTGAAATCATATAGTGAAGTTACACAATAATATCAATACATACGCTGATGATGCACCGCATCTCTTATTCCCTGCCAACTGAGCCTCATGGAATACTTTAAATTATTTATCAAAGGCCAAAAGAGAAGAAGAATCTGCAGCTGAAGACAGAATGTGAGATTAGGGAGGTGATGCATGAAGAAGGAAAAATAACAGAATATTCTTTATTTAGCTTGGTATTAAGTTATATGTCCTGATATCTGCAGAAACCATAAATCATTTCAGCTTCAGTTCTGTTCTTTCGGTTATTTTATCACAGTGAGGTATGGTCTCTGTAGCCAAGGCTACAGAGATGTTAGGCAGAGTCTCCTGTATCAGAATCTTTTGGCTAATGTTTACCTTCTCTTGTATATTTGAAATTTGAAATACTACAGTTATACCAAACCATTATCACTGAGAATTCACAGCTCTGCCTGTGTTCTCTGCTGCAGGTCTCTATGGGCTGCTGGCGGATGGAGAAAAACTGGAACATCTGATGTCTCTGTCGCCCGAGGAGCTGCTGCTCCACTGGGTCAACTTCCATCTCCGTAATGCAGGGACGCAGCCCATCAAAAACTTCAGTGAAGACAACAAGGTGACCTGAAGAAAACACACACACACACACACCAGACACACACGCCAACATGAGTGTGAATAACTCCTTGTCCCATCATCCACCTGCAGGACTCCCGGGCCTATTTCTACCTGCTGCAACAAATCGCTTTGCAAGAGGCAAAAGAAAAGGAGCTCAGAACAAGAGTGAAAATCGACATAAGTGGCCTGAATGTGAGTCTGTGAGAAAAAAAAAAAGTTAGGTAGAAAGAGATAAATCTTCCATTTGTATGATTGTGTGAGTTTTATGTTTTGCATAAAGGAACCTGACTTGGAGGAAAGGGCAGAGCTCATGCTGCAGCAGGCGGCCCGTCTGGACTGCAGGCAGTTCGTGTCTCCTCACGACGTTGTATCTGGAAACAGCAAACTCAACCTGGCCTTTGTGGCCAATCTGTACAACATGCACCCAGCCATGCACAGAGCCAACACCAACGGCATAGAGGTCGCACGCATAGCAGGTGAGACATTGACCTGTTTACCATTACGTCAATGTACAGTGGAACTGTACAGGGAACTGTTGCTATCAGACACATAATTCACAAGCCAATGGACAAGACAAGCATTTATGCTTTTGTTTAAGGGTGTGACAGTTTATTGTTGTCATAAATTTAAATGAACCGCATTCAGTTGAGAGTTGAAGCTGGAGCTGGTGGAAAACACTAATAACCTTCGTGTCTTTGCAGGAGAGTCCAGGGAGGAGAAAACTTTCCGCAACTGGATGAACTCTCTGGGAGTGACTCCATATGTCAATCATCTGTACTGGTACGTCACTGGTCATGTGATCACTCATCTGATATATGAGGTGGAGGTATTTGGAACTTTTCCAAGAAAGCCTGGTCAAATGTTAATATGTTTGGCTTTTTAGGACATTGTAATAAAGTGTATCTTTTGTGGCAGGATGAATCTGATTTTCTTTTTTTTTTTTTGTTACATTTGATAGGCCTAATTATTACAATTATTAATTGTAATTATGGTTTAAGGTAAATGTATGGTGTTGATGTAAAAGTTCTTGCTCTGATTGTCACCATGGCTCCGGTTTCTTCCACAGCGATCTGTGCGATGCTTTGGTGATACTGCAGCTCTATGAAAAGGTCAAAGTGCCTGTGAACTGGAAGAAAGTCAACCGTCCACCTTACCCTTTCCTGGGTGCAAATATGAAGAAGGTATGACTACTTAACAACAATCGCTGTTTAATATCTAATAAAAACATTTGTGATCTCATGTGATCTCTGTTTATTGTATCTGTTCCAGCTGGAGAACTGCAACTACGCTGTAGATCTGGGCAAGAATGTTGCTCACTTCTCTTTGGTCGGTGTCGGAGGTGCAAACATCAATGAGGGCAGTGCCCTGCACATACTGGCCCTGGTCTGGCAGCTGATGAGGAGGTACAGAATATGAGCTCTATGAGTACTAAGTCCTTTAATGTACTTTCTCCATTGGACTCAACGTTAGGGACTGATCTTTTTGACCAATCCTGGTCCACTGGACATGGACGCATTAGTACATTAGACAGTTGACAAAACACTTGTTTAAAACTCTGATTCCTGCCAATAATCTGTGTCTGTTAAAGTGGTGGGAGTTTTGTCAGGAAGGCATCGGGAATAATAATCTGTACCAAATGAGATTACATTTCTGATTTTGACTCTTCCTCAGGTACACAGTCCTGGTTTTGTCAGATTTAGGTGATGGAGAAAAGGTCGGAGACCAGATCATCCTGGACTGGGTCAACACCACCTTGAGCCACAACCGCAAAGACACACAGATCAGCAGCTTCAAGGTACTGCATGTTCATTAGTCCTTATGCACTGCCCAGAAACCTTGCTGTTAGCACATTTGATGTTTTGTTTGTTTGTTTGTTTGTTTGTTTTTCTTCTCTACAGGACAAACAAATCAGCACCAGTCTCCCAGTTATTGACCTGATCGACTGCATCACTCCTGGAACTGTCAAGTGGGACATGGTGAAGAAAGTAGAGAAAGGGTTTATGAAGAAGGAAGATAAGAACGACAATGCAAAGTAAAAATCAAAATAAAGATACACATTTTTTAGTTTAGTTTTTTTACCTTTCTTCCCTTTTGTTCTTCAACTAAACTCCTACTTCTTCTTCTTTTTCTTCCAGGTATGCAATCTCCTTGGCCCGCAAAATTGGAGCTCGTGTTTATGCCCTGCCTGATGATTTGGTGGAGGTTAATCCTAAAATGGTGCTGACAGTGTTCGCCTGCCTCATGGGCCACGGTTGGAAAAAAGGCCTTAAATGAAAAAAAAAAAGAAGACAAAAGATAAGAAGAAAACTTTGAACAAACCTGAAATATAATATGAAACAAAATTATTTTTCTGTAAACTCTCTTTTCGTCATCTTCTTTTTAACCTTTGAAGTTAAAGTAATCACAAAAACAAGCAGATTATACTTTGTTTACGAAAGCAATACATCCGTGAACACGCAACAAATTACATATCTTAACAAAGTTTCTGCTTATCTATGAGTTTATACAATAGATAAAAATGCGAACAATTTTTCTTTTTTCCATTACATGGTACTTGCTTCATTATGTAGCTTCGCAGGAAAATAAAAAATCAAACACATTTTCTTTCAGCAAAACCTGTTTGTCTGTAAATGTTGTGCATTAAATACTGCTATTTAATTATTAAAATATATTGAGTTGTTACTTTAATGTGTGGATGTTTTTCATTTTACAGTACAATTAGGAATTTCAGTAGACATTTAGAAACAGTTCAAACATAGTACAGTATAGTACAGTGCCTGTGCTTGTAGTATACATACAGTATACAACAGTTTGAATAAAAAACAGATTTTGCATAAATATATTTATTTATGTGTTACTCAGATCATATGCAAATTTAAAAACAATTCTTGCAAAAGTAATATGTAAAGTTAGGTGACTTATTTAATAATAAATAAGGGAATAGTTTAGTTTGGATATTGTTCTAATGTTTTCAATCTTTCAGAAATATGTTATACTCATTAAAGTATAAATCACTGATAAATCTGTTCCTCAAAAGTAAACAAAAGTCTAATTTTTTATCAACATTTGAAATAATATGAATGTTTTTAATTATTAAATTATACCTCGGTCACTAAGATATTATCAAAGAATTTATGCTCCTCGCCAAAAGAGAGGTTCCCAAGATTCTAGAATATTCTTGACTTTAAAACTATCTATCTTCGTGGTTTTTATTTTATTTTATTATGTATGTATTATGTTTTAGCAAGGTAGGCACAATTACGGATTGAGTTTGCTATTTTGACCTACGGTGGCCGCCGTAGATAAACATGAAACGTCATTTTGGAGCGAAAGTTTGTCAAGAGAAGACACACACGTAGCTGTCATTTCGCCGAAGTTTTTTTTATTTGCCCTGGTAAAATGTAACGACAAAACTTTAAAATTAAAATAGTTACGCGATAAGTCGCGGTGTCAAAGAAATGGAAGGTCTAGAAATGTCCGCCATGATTCCTGCTCTGCAGGAGTTAGCGAGGTGAGGAAAGGGCTCAGTGCTAAAGCTAAACTGTTGTCACAAACGTCAAACTCGACGCTGACATTCACTAGCCGGTGTTGTTAAGTCGTTCACTTGTTTTTGGTACCATGTTTCCGCAACTACAGTAACACATTCTTGTTTTTAATAGTGCCGGCGCTGCGGAGTATGACCAGGCTGTACAGAAACCTCGACAGATCCTGTGTCAGTTTATTGACAGGATTCTGACAGATGTGGATGTTGGTAAGTCACTAATACCAGCCACACACAGCAGGTGGACCTGATGATAAGCAAACACCGGCACTGCTTAAGAAACGCTGTTTGTCTGTAAATACTTATATACATACAAATGCATAAGTTTCAATTAAGCGTATAATGCTATCATGCGTACATTATACAGTAGTAATATGTAATTCACATAATAAGCAAACCTCGCCGCTTTTCTTGAGTCAAAGTCTTGAATTAGTAGTTATTTAGTAATTGTTTTTCCATATATATAAAAACTCGAGTTGACCCCTACACTGTACATATTCTTCTGTAAACAAACTCTTTATCTCCTCTGGATTAGCACCTCGCCCATCATTACACACAAGATTAGATTATAAAGGTTTGACTTCACTGATCACAGGAAATTCTCAAGTAATATTCTTGTTCCCTGATGTTTGCCTGTGCACAAAGGCGTTAGTGCTGCTCACTTCTGATTTTGCACTCAAACCCAACAGTTACATGCACCAAGATCTTTTGTCAACTTTCTTTTTTAAGAATAGATTTTATTTAATGATTATTTGATTTATGTATTTTTTTCTATTCTGTTCTGTGGCATCAATGATACAACAGATATATACGTATATATTTTAAAATGTAAAAAGTTAGGTAAGGTAAGGTAAGATACATGTTTCTGCAGTATGCATTACCCATAAAGCCGTCTGACGAATCAGACTTTTATTGTTTCTTTTTCATTTATTTTTTTCTATTGTAAATTATTTTTGAAATGTTTTTAGTTTGTTTTGTCTACATTTCACTTATTATTTTGTCTCTTTTGTTCCAGTCGCTCTGGGCTTGAATAAAAAGTCCTCCTCGGAGCCGGCCTGTGTCATGTTACTAGACTTTGTGCAGCATATTGTCAAATCCTCGTCACTGATGTTCGCTAATCCTGCCTGTGAACCGGCTGAATATCCAGATGCTACACAGAACTGTGCTGGTAGGACACTCACCTGTTAAAAAAAAGTATTAATATACAGATTTTGTAATTATAACTTTTTGACTTTTAATTTTTCTTCATTGTCAGACTTCAGTAAGTGGGTCGCAGTGCGTTTTCTTCGTGTAGCAGCAGCTCCAGACTGTGATGTCATCCACAGCTGCGTGTCTGCCGTGCTGTGCTCTTTACTTCACACTCTCACAGTCAGGGCGCCATTTATCTTCAAAGAACTCACTCAGGAACTCATTCTACTGATGCAGGACCTCAGTGACATACTTTACGCCCACATCATCACCCTGACAGGACCGGGTAACGCTGTCGGACAAACACAGAAACAGTGGCCTGTTTCTCTTCAGCGCTTCAGTGTCTCCCCTAATTCTTCCTCACCGTACCTCACCCCTTCTCCTCTTGTGCTCTCCTCGCCTGCCGCTCTGGAGTCCTTGACTGCGGTGACGATTAGTGTCATCACTGATGTTCTGAGGGGAGTGATTTCGAGTCGTGATCTCAGCGTGGTCTGGGAGGTGGCGTGCTCCTTCCTGGCCAACGGGAACAGCAGGCTGAGGAAGCTCTCCATGGTGGTACTGAGGAGACTCGTGGAGCTCAGAGGGTTTTCTGACCTTCATGCTCACGACTTCTTCACAGCCTACCTTCACTTACTGGACACACAAACTACAGTAAACACGGGTTCAGATGAACAGTCCTATGAAGGGGAGCTGCTTCATTTGACTCACTGTGTGTTTCAGAATCCTGGTGCTTCTCACACACACGTTGGCTCTGTGTACCTCTCACAGATGTTTGAGTGTGTTTGTACCCTTGCAGGGAAAGCTGAGGCCAAGCTAGGGTCAGAGGTCACTGAATCCCTCTGCTTCCTGTTTAGCTTCTTACTCCGTGCAGCTTCAGTTTATTCCGGAGCTGAAGCCTTGAGGCAGCAGCGAGTCACAGAGGTCTGCAGGACACTGGTTCAAACCATTGGAACAGGACATCAGGCTGAAGTACGACCTGTGAAGGATTTTACAACTAATTGAATTATCTGATTTCCTCATTGCCCTTTGAAAGGTTTATTGTCTATTGTCTACAGTTTGTCATTTGCATGTGCTTTCCCAGTGTGCTGAAGGATTTCTCCGTGCAGCACTCAAGGCTGAGACTGATGTAGTGATGCAGAAGTCAATAGATGGAGAATCTGTGGCGAAGAAAACCTGTAAGAGCGCCACCAGCTCCCACAATAAAACAGCAAAAACATTATGGTGAGTTCAGATGTCCGGGGTTTGTTACCTGGTACCGAACCCTGAATCCACAGTTTCATCTCAGTGCATGCACATATTTAAATGTTTTTTTTTCCATGTAACTAAAAGATTCAGGAAGAGTTGAACAGACACAGGCTCTCAGTCTATCAGTGTATCAAAGTTTCATTTCTTCATTTTAAAAAGTAATCAAAATAACCTTCGTAGGGAAATTATTCACTGTCATTACATTCACAACAGGTTAATGTCAGAGCTGTCTGACTTGGGATCTTACATACATTTATTTAAAATTATTACTAAACTATCTTTCAAAGGTTCATGACATCACTCTGGGCCACGCCCCAACCTAAAAATGAATTATTTGTCTCCTTGTCTTTCCACAGTGAGGTGGACATGCGTCTTCAGAGCAGTGTGTGGTCTGTGGTGAACAGCCGTCTGGAAGAGCTGCTCAAGGTTCTGAACTCAGACTCTTCATTACCTGAAGCCTCACAAACTCTGTCTGCTCTAGAGGGTCTGGCTGTCTGTCTTCACCTGGCTGCTTTCTGCTCCTCAGCCACCAGGTGCCGTAATTTATCATTTTAAACACTTTCTACATCAGTGGTAGTTACACTCCTGTTAGAAGTCACCAGGAATACAATGAAAAAGTAGTTCAGTTAACCACAAAATGTGCTGTTCATTCCCTAAGGTTCAGTAATTGGGCTTGTGATTGCAGGGTTACCAGTTTGAATCCTGGCCTGCTCTGTGGTGTGTGAGTCAAGTTTTGACTGTTACCAATAAACTGCCTTGTTGTTTTCTCACAGACTTCCTCAAACCCTGTGGATTTCCACTGAGACTCTCAGCAGGGTTTTGAAAAGCTGTCAATCAGTTTTAGAGGGCGGAGCTCAAACTGTAACAGACCAAGACTTCGTCCAGTCTCCTCTCCAGACCACCGCCAAAGTCCTGGATTCTATTGTTTATCTGACAAGTAAGATAATCTGCTGATGTGGAACCAAATTCACCACCAAATGCCAAATGTTTGTCAGTAATATTGTCTTTGTGTGTGTGTGACTTTAGTGAGGAACCAAAGTGAGGATGGACTCCTGCGGCGAGTCTGTGCTCTGTTGTCTCTTCCCTGGATTTCTGAGAACGAGACCAGCTCGGCCTATTCCAGTTCAGGATTCCCATCCTGGGTTCTCACCTTGGCTCAGAAACTCAGCTCCTTCTACTGTGAGTATTCACAGCTATACTCAAATATTAATACAATCTGTCTCCAACAGAATAAAAAAAATAATTATATTTTAGCTCAAAACACTTTCCCTTCCTGTGTTATTTCAGCTCCTGAGGTCCAGGTGGATTGTGTCTGCCTCCTCGCCCTTTTGCGGCAAGGTGTGTGTGACACATGGCGTGTGTGTGTCTTCTCCAAAGCCCTCCAGAATCCAGAAGAGATGGTCAGAGCTGCGGCGGTACGAGCGGCCCCTCTTTTTCTTCATCACGTGGGAAACCTGCATTACAACCTCATCAGAAAAGCTTTGAGGTATGAAGAGTGTAAACTAACACTCTAAGATCCAATCACAAGATTTGTAATTTTGGACAGTAAATTATAACACTGAAAATGACTACATTTAGTTTTTCAACTGAATCGTCATTTTCTATCATTTTCACTATTAGTGAATAACTATTAGTCTGCCCTGAAATAGCAGGTTTGACACAGTAAATACTAAAATGTCGTATCAACTACAGTAAATGTCAGACCCAAAATAATTAAAAATTAGAAATTATCCAAATAAATATGAATTTAAACAATAGGCTGTTGTGACAACATTAAAGTTAAAGTTGGCACTTTAACCATGATGTTCTCTATTTTTTGGAACATTAAAGTTAAAGTTGGCACTTTAAAAGCCATGATGTTCCCTATTTTTTGTCAAAAAATTGGTAAAAGCAAAAATAATTGAAAACTTGTCAAATTCTACAAATATGCAAAAATGGTTACAGTTATCCATAAATACCTGTAAATACAATAAAACGTCTTCATCTGTGAATACAACATGACTTTACACAAGTTAGCAATAGCAAAAAAATCTTTTCTGTTGATAAAGAGTGTTTCAGTTTGACTCTGGACTGTTCTCAGTTCCAGGCTGGAGGACAGTTCGGAGCTAGTAAAGACAGAGTTGGCTCGGATCATCGGTCACTTGAGCTGCATCCAATCAGAGCTCTCCTCGCTGAGTGAACCAGAGGCTGGATCTGAGCATCTTTACAAAACCATCTACCTACGTCTCAGGCTGACAGCAGAGCATGCTGGGAACAGCTGTGCCTCTCTGAAGGCAAATTTTGTGAGGCCATTTCTGCCACTGCTCATTCCAGAGGTTCAGAGTGGAGTCAAACAAGGTACGCCATGAATCTCCATTTTACCAAAGTCACTTTGAATCTATTCTATGTTCTATATTCTAAATTATATAATCTATAATCTATATATTTGCCTTTCCAACCCGAACCAGGTTTTCTGGAAGCTCTGCCGCATCTTTGTCAACATGTGAACCTGACTGGTGGAGACAGCGACTCCAGAGCAGTGCTCTGTGCTCTGATTGGTCTAATGGTGTCCTCCGATTCAGCAGTCAGAATAGGCTTCAGCCAATCAATACGTTTCCTGTTGATGGAACGTTCCTGGAACTCTGAACAAAGCTGTTTGAATGAAGTGAGTGAATTTGGTTTAATTAACGACCACTTCTTTAGCTACACCATGGAAGTGTTGTCTTTTGGACTAACTCTTTTTGTAGTTGTACGTTTTCTGTGTCTATATATAAATATATATATATGTATATATATATTTTGTTATCCCAGCTGCTGGTTTCTCATCTTAAAGAAGCTTTTAACCATGCTAAAGTGAACAGAGATGATGAGCTGAGGAACACTCTCATCCTGACCACTGGAGAGATTGGCAGGTAATGATTGTACTTTATTTTAATCATACATCAGATCCAGTACCACAGTTATGGATATGTAATGTTTATCTCTTCCTCTTCTCCCATCAGAGCATCTCAGGGTAGTTTGGTGTCCTTCTCTCTGCTGCGGCTGCTCCACTGTCTGTTGTCCAAATCATCTGCCGTGTCTGTAGCAGCTTACGCTCAGATCAGAGCTCTGGCCACGGCCAAAGGCCTCAAACTACAAACACTCTTCAGTCAGTACAAGAATCCCATTTGTCAGGTAAGAATTGTATCAGGCTACGGGGGAAGAACTTCTCAG